ATCTTAAGGAGAACTGCTAAGCAAGGACTGCTAAAGGAATTTTAAAAAATTGAGTAAACTGATCATTCTTTCAACTGATAATTCTTCAAAACTGTCATCATTTCCAGTACTGGAGCTGGACTCCGACTCGCCGAACAAACAGCATCCTAGTGCCTATAGGTAATGTGATGTACCCATCATTTATAGATTAAACAGTGTTTGTTAATGGACAATGTTTTTTCTATCATTTAAATGGGCTTTATGTCCATCATAAATGGTGCCTGAAACACTGAAAACTGAACAAGTAATACACACAAATGTACAATGCAATGATGCACAGAAATGACCAAACATTCTTAAACACTTTCATTCTTTTCATGCTTTTGGGTTGCTTGAAAATCTGGCACGTGTTTTCTTTAGGCAAATTCAAGATCATGCATTTATATTATTTAGTTAACAGAACGTGGGAATAATTTGTGTTTGAAATTTCATTACAACTTTTTCTAACTTCTTCAAAGTATTTAAATGTGAAACATTGTTTAAATGTCAAATATTGTATCTGACATTAATGGCAAGCACTGAGGTCAGTAGAATGTCAGTAGTTAAAAAATTACAACATTGTCCACAAGATCTTTTTGTTACTGTAAATTCCAAAGAAATAGTGGAGTTTGCCCATTTGGTTATGTTTGCAATGACTAGCAAGCTTGGATTATGTGCACACTTCAGAATTAAAATATTACCTATATCAACAGTGCCAAAGAGAAATTCAATGGAAATTGGATTAAAGAAACTCACATGATATTTGTTTGGCAAAAGCTAATTTCCTTAAAGAAAATAACCAAGTATCACTAGATTCCAAATCTTTGTCTGCTTAGTCAGATGTATGTGCGCAGTCAGCGATATATTCAAGTGAACTATTACTATCACCCCTGAGTAATAGAAAAATCGACATTACCGGTCAAATGTTTAGACACACCTATAGGTTCTTTATTATTTTCGACATTTTAGAATAATAGTAACGTAATAATGAAAACTAAGACAAAACAATTATGCATTGCTCAAAAAATGCAAGTATATATATATATATATATATATATATATATATATGTATTCTTTAAAATCTTCAGTCACCTTCATGAGAGTTTTAAAGGACTTCACATGCATGTTCAGCACATGTTGGCTGCTTTTATTCACTCTCTGGTCCTAATTATAAAATTGTAGTTTTGTAAAGAATTTCTTACACAGGCACAATTTGTATTTATCTAAAAACAAATTTCAAGCACTTAAGCAGAATCCTTAAGATCAAACGGTTTTTAAGATAAAAAGTTCAGTTAAGTGTGTCTACATGTGTGACTGTTTTCTGGATTTCCGGATTTCTGCATTAATTACTCATAAAATGTGGTCTGATCTAACTATAACTCAGTTATAGACAGGCACAATCTGACTAAACTAACAACACACATTATGTGATCATTCACAGTGCAGGGTGTTGAAAGTAAGTGAACCAAAAGTAACCTCCAAAAGCTAATTCGAGTCAATTTACAGAAATGAGATTCAAAGTGTGGGTCGCATAGGTGACCTGCCCATTAAATCTCTAAGAACACAATGGACAATCCTGAAAGAGGTGAGAGGACAACAGCAAAGGACCTCCAGAAAACTCTACAAACTGCTGACGTCTTTCTGCATGTGTCTACTATCAGAAAGCACTGCAAAAAAAATACTAAAACAGGTCCACCTGGATTTTTCACAATGCTTTTGGGAAAATGTTTTGTGGACAAAATGCACAACACTGTTTAGAGCAAACCAACTCCAAAACCTCATCCCAAATATGAAGAATGGTTAGGATAGAAGGATCATTGTGGATTAACACTGCCTTGCTGCTTCAGGGCCAGCCTGCCAGGACACTTTCCAATCATCAAAGGACGAATGAATACAAAAGTCTATGAAGATATTTTACAAAAAAAATGTTCATGACTGACTTTAGGTCATTGGGTGTTACAAAAAGAGTCAAGACAATGGCCTTAGTTCTGACCATACATCAGTTTAGATGCTGTGGCATAACCTAAAGAGGGCTGTGCTACAACCAATGTTGTTAAGATGAAACATATTTGCGAGGGATGGTTCAAAATTGGTCAACAGTCTTATAAGCAGCCACAGAAAAAAAATATGTTTTGCTGCTACAAGTGAAGTTAGTGATTCAATGTTTCACTTACTTTCTCCACCCTACATTGTGATTATTTACTGAATAATAAGCAAAGTGCATTTTTTAAAAATGAGTTTAGTCAGATAGTGTTTGTCTATAATAGTGGCTTAAATTAAGATCAGACCACATTTTATGGGTAAGCAATGCAGACTGCTGCGCGTGAAGAACTGTAGGGCTTTTCAGTTTTAAAGTGCGGTCACATTTACTATTGCTGCGAAATTTCATTAATTTCATTTCAATAGTTCTCCATGCAGATTTCGCTCATGTGAAAGTTGGTCACGCGAATTCGATGCTGTTTGTCTGAAAGTGACTTCCGCTACACTATTGACAGTGGACAACGGGCCATTTTTGCTGGCGAAATTTCGCGAATGTGACCGCACATTTATTTACATGGCCAACAAAAGGTAGGCTATATGCTTACATATAAGGTTGTAAAATCAATGTAATTTGTTCTATAGGGCAATGTACTATGACAATGTACTATAGTACGACCCCAGTGCTGCCACAGGGCTCTGAACAGGATGAAGATACCACAGACCTGTGGAACATCCTCTTCAGACGACAACAGCTGCTAAACCGTCTTCAGTTCCTACAGGAGATCCAAAAGAAGAACAACAGAATAGAAGGTAATGGAATAACACTCATACACCAATATAACGGCAATGCTATTGCTAAAGAAATGACTCTAATTAAATAATAACAATAAAAGTTACATTGATTGAAACATTACTGTGGCCAGCTGGTTGCATAAAGTGCTTGAACTAGTCTTAAAACTAGTCTAGTACTTTTGTCTTTTTAGGACTGGTTGTAATAATGGGTTACAAAAACATAGATTAGACTAATTTAAATCCCAAAAATACGTATTACACATTAGCAATTGCAAATTGGTCAGACTAGATGTTAAGAATTATGCAGTTGGCCCCTGGAAATAATGTTAGACTCAGACTGCTCTATGGACTTCAGAGTAGGAGCAACAACATTTGGTTATTTCACTGTGCAATAAAACAGGCAAAACAATGTAATGCAATTACTCTTTCTAGGACCTGCCTACTTTACCAGGAAATGAGCATTCAAATTGCAATGACTCCACTCTTGACTGTAATTCATCTGCATGCTTATATTTGACTAGTTAGTACAAACAATAATTTGGTTGCTTTACATTTTCTTTTTTTCTTTTTAGGATACCTTGCAAATGAAGAGGGCCCTACAGAACTGGACAGAATAGAGGAGGAGTTGAAGTTACTGGAGCAAAAAGAGAAGGATCTTATTCAGAAAAAAAAATGTTTGACAACACAGACAACAGACAAAGGCATGTGTCTACATTATAAATTAGACAAATTTAAAAAACGCACACACATGCATATACACACACACACAAAACAGAAAGGCACAAACAAGCTTGAGCAAAATGTAAAATAGATTTTTTTTTCAGATTTTAAATACTTCTCAGTTCAGTACTTCTTTTACTAAATAGTGAATACATGAACAATACATGAGTACATTAGTAAGTATTTATAGTCAATTACATTTCTAAGGAAAAAATCATACATTTTACAATTTCATTTAGATTTCATTCAAATCTACAATTACATTTAGATAAAAAAAATGTTTTTGATTTACTGGTCATGATGTAAATCTGTTCTCAAAACACATCCCATGATTTTTACATATCATATACATATTAAGAACATATTAGATTTGAATTCATTTGTTTTAATTATAAATAAAACATTTATTTGATTTTATTAAAGATATTAAAATGAATTAAATTCAAAAATAAAATAAAAAATGGTCAATTATAATTTACTGTAATTAAAAGTGTCTCTTGATTTCAAAAAAGCTGAACTTAATTACCACTTTATTTCTTTAAGTAGGGGTGCATGGGGCACAAACTAACACAGGGTTATTTGTAACACACATGGTTTAAATATTTCCACACATTCTAGCGTAACAAAATTTACAGTATTTACTGTTATATCAACACCATACAGAAAAAAAATTGTACCAAAAAAAATCTTTTGAAGATACCGATAACATTTAAGCATTAGTAAATTTATGACTTGAGTAAATTTTTCATCTCAGTTTTTGGTGTTAATTTAAAATGAGACAAATCTGCTTAAACCTTAAACCTTCTAACCTTAAATCGCATAAACACATTGCATTACACCAAATACACAACATAATGTTCTTTTTAGCAACATCATATGACCCCTTTAAGAAATGTAAAGCATTTTGGCTCGTTTATTATTTCTCGTGTTCTGTGAAAGCTGTGTGTGAAGGGACGGGAGGGTTGTGATTTTCTAAATGTCTGAAAGTCTTTCTTCATCTGTTTGCTCACATTGTTTTGAACTATGCTGTATAGCTGTGCATTGCGATCAGGGCCGTCCCAAGCATGGGGCCCTGGTTACAATGTGTTCACTGTCAAACTCCAAAATTACATTCTTTTTCATTAAAAAAAAAAAAACATTATTTTATTAGAAAAAATTTTAAGCTGTCTGTTACAACGTGCCCCACCTATGGGGCATGTTGTCACATTTCACTTCCATTCTTTTGGGGTAAATAAATAAAAAAACATACACTACTTATGAAGCAAAACCACATATTTGTACTTAACAAGTGTGAAATTAATGTGGAAAAATTATACGTTAATTATATTATACTATAATATTATACTCTGAACCCCATGTGGATTTACACAAACTGAGAAAGTCAAAAAGCGTAAGGTTGTGCACCGCTCAATCCTACACAAAATCATATTTTTTGTGATACTGTGGTTTTTCTGGAACATTCTCAGTCATAAGTGTGCAAATGAAACATTAATTATCCTGTATTATATTGTATGATATACTTTCTGTGACAGATCCAATTCAAGCTCCAATCCAAGGGCTCTACATTCTCCCCGTTTCTGCAGAAACTATTTCTCCTATCACTGCTCTGCAAGAGGAAAACACAGGTGAAATAATATAGATAGCCTGCAAACGTAACATTAATTATCTTGTATAATATACTCTTCATATCAAATGGAAAAGCTCAAATCCAAAGATTTCTTCATATTTCATTTACAGAGACAATTTCTCCTACCATTGCTCTGCAAGAGGACAACTCAGGTAAAATAACAGTTTGTTACATACAGTGGGGCAAAAAAGTATTTAGTCAGCCACCAATTGTGCAAGTTCTCCCACTTAAAAAGATGAGAGAGGCCTGTAATTTTCATCATAGGTATACCTCAACTATGAGAGACAAAATGAGAAAAAAAATCCAGAAAATCACATTGTAGGATTTTTAAAGAATTAATTGGTAAAGTCCTCGGTAAAATAAGTATTTGGTCACCTACAAACAAGATTTCTGGCTCTCACAGACCTGTAACTTCTTATTTAAGAGGCTCCTCTGTCCTCCCACATCTTTACAACTTGACAAGTTGGGCAAAAACCATGGACAAATGTCCAGGTTAGATTGCCATAGAACTGATATATGATGAATGAATAAACAAAATGAATGTGTTTCGCCTTCCCAGAGACAGTAGTAAGCTTGGACGATGTCACCATGTCCCCTGCAAAAGTAAAATGCCCTTCTTGCCAGAAGATTGTCAGCACTGAGATCTACTATAAACTGGGCAGCAATGCCTTTCTCTTTTGCTGTCTCTTATCTGTGGTAGGGTAAGTATTCTATAGTGAATAATCAATAAGCACACAAGCAAATGAGCTGTTGTTCCAAATATTGCAAGTAATCACAGCCATGCTGATATTCAGACCAACAGCACAATTGCAAGTGTAATATTGCTTTAATACAAAGTTGTAACAATAAGTTAACAAAGTAAACAAGAAGTTAACAATTTACATTTTAACCAGAGTATTGCTGAAAACATACAGTTTGACGAAACCTAATTACACATTGTGCATCTATCAGCAACACATTCCAGAATAATGTTATAATACAAATCGAGTGCATGATTCAACGACTCACTCGTAAAGATAGGGATGGTTTTCTCAAAAACAAATATTTTGTAATCATTTACACACCCTCATGTCGTTCCAAATCTGTAATCTGAGTTTCTTGTGTGGAACACAAATAAAAATATTTTGAAGAATGTGGGTATCCAAACAGTTTTGGGGACAGTTGGCTTAAATTAACAAAAAAAAAAACGGACACATTTCGCACTAAAGAAAGTCACGCAAGCTTAGAAAATTTTGGGCTAACTATACCTTTTATTTGTTGCTAAATGCATCAGTGCTTTGAACAAAACGCTCCATTAATACACTCGGCTAATCAGATTCAAGAACCAGAACTGTTGTATTATTGGTCAGGTGTACATGTTGCATTGAGTTTACATTTACATTGTCCTTCTGTTGTTTCTGGGACAGGTGCCTGGCCGGATGTTGCCTGGTCCCCTTTTGTATGAATCGCTTCAAAGATGTCATCCACAGGTGTCCATCCTGCCACAAAGATATATGTTCAGTAAATAGAATTTGAAGCAAAGAGTAATAAAGTTATTGATCTGCAATAACATGACTGTGAAAACCTCCAGAAGAGCTTAAAGCTGAGCACAGGGGTCAGGCCTGGAATTTTGTCTCTGTGCTGGGGAAGTCCACATGTAGGCTTTGAAATGTGGCGAATGTTATAATACAAATCGAGTGAATGATTCAACGACTCGCTCGTAAAGATAGGGATGGTTTTCTCAAAAACCATCCACATGTACATTTGGATTTTTGTACATCCACATGTACAAAGGAATTAAACTATAGTCAAGTTAAGCAAATAATAATTGACTAAGAGTAAGAGGATCTAATGTGCTACATTAATATTGTGCAAGTGGCCACTAGTCCAGCAGTGTATCAGCCATTTCCAATAGGCCTTTAGGGTGATAGAAACATAGTCACTAGTGGTTGTAGAAGTAAACAAACCATGTACCACTGGCTCATTTTGAGTCAGACATGACCAAATCAGTGGTTTAGGCTCGCTCTGACCAGTCTGCATCACAGCTGTAAACTCCTGCATTTGGATCAGTTGAATTCACAAATGACTCATTCAGTGTGAACCGATTTAAACGGTTCATTGAAAAGAATTCATTCATCAACTGAACATCACTATCACATCTTGAAGTGGGTCTCTATTTCTTCGTTTCACTATTTCTAAAATGTAGTGCAGTACATGTACGTTTCTCCAAAATGGAGGAATAGTACTTATAGTAGGCTTACTCTATTACATATATACAACTATGAGTACTATTTTTCATATATATTATATGTAGTAAAAAAATAATAATTTGCTGCAGTCATGACCAATGTGGACAGTAACAATGATTTGGATAACAATCCAAGCTGTTGAAACAAAAGATGTTTATCAATGCAACATCTTATTTAACAGTATAATAAACCAATATCCAAATTGATATGACCAAGTTTGAGTGACATTTGTGATTCTATGAATACTAGTTTGCATTCATGTAATAGTCATGTAAATGAGCCGGGAGAACTGTTTATAGGAAGAATACTGTATCAAATGTCACCATGAAAACAATGGATTGTTTTTGTATATGAATCTTTCTATTATATATGGAATGTTACCATTTGAAAATATGTATAATATTAAATATTCAGAGTATAAAAACAAGTTTCAGCTCTCTTATGACAAAAATAAACAAACAGACAAGTTTTGCATGTCATTCCTCTGGTATATTTAAGAGACTCTAAAACATCCTCTACAACAGTATTTTCACAATACATTAATTTTCACTGATATGTGATGGCGTATATATAATCATATCTTCACAACTATTCACAAAATAGAGCTCATGGATGCTCCAAACGTGTAAAAATATGTATTACATCCATTAAAATATATACACAATGTGCAAAACATATGGCATACAAATGATGATTGATCTCCTGCTTTGGAGCATGTTCAAAGGCTAAGTATCGCCCAGTGTCATCACCATTGATACATAATATACATCAATATTGGATAAAGAGCATGACATCTAGATGAGTCCAGCAGACGATGTTGAAAACAAGGAGCTAGGAATCCTAAATCTAGAATAGGCGCCAGAATAGGCGCCCATGCAAATAGATGATGTAAAACTGAAGTGATGCTCTGATACCTGATCTCCTGCATATACTGTATACAATACAGCACTGTATATAAAATGCAAGTTATTGCTTTACTCTCCAACAGAGAATGGGACTTGCATATCGACTCAATGCAAATTCAATGCAGATTAACATTTTTCTCCAACGGAAAAATCCTCAACCACCTACAATACCATTCAAAAATGTGGGGTATTTTTTTATTTTTTTGAAAATCTATTATTCTCACCAAGGCTGCATTTATTCAAGCAAACATACACTACCACAGTGGTCCCACGTTATATTAAGTGGTCCTAATACCTGTGTACTTACAGAGTAACTAGATGTGTACGTAGTATGTAACCACAGTGTTAAGTACACATTGGTACATAGTATCTAGAGCGGTAATATTTCTGTAACTACACACATGTAACAACCCTCCGAATGGTTTGTATAAGTACAAAAGTGTAACAGGACATATATAACTACATTTTGTAACCACAATATGTATAAGAGTAATTGGAACAATTTGATCCAGGGGTGGAAATGGATAGGTTTAGGGATATGTAAAGTGGGAGGAGTTGGATCTCAAGTTGGTGGAGTTGGTGCACCACTGTAATACCAGTGTACTTACATGGTAACTCCTCAGGAACTGTCCACTTAATATAAAGTGTAACATTCTGGACACCAACCACAATTTATATGTAAAGCCTAACTTACTGGCCGCTGCGGTGTAACATCAGAGTAATTACATGGTAAATCCACAGGAATTGTTTACTTAATATAAAGTGTAACACTTTCTTTACCAAAAAGTGCTGTTAGTCCTGTTACACATTTGTACTTTCATTTCCAAAAAGTGTTGTTACCAATGTTAGCAAAGGTAACAATACAGGCTGCATTATAACAGCAGTCAGTAATGCCAAAAACTGCTCTGAACAGTCAGACACATGCATTATTCCTTACTGGACTAAATTTGTCCCCAAAGCTACACATAGCAGTGATAGATTCTACTAGTTAAAACTAGTAATTGGCATTTTTCTTTCCTGGAGAGGCCAGAATTTGAACAGTATGCAGAGCGAACAGTACAATGCCTTAAACAGAGCCGATGAGCAAAGTTAATCATTGGACTTGTGAGCGGACGAGACACACGTAACACTGACGCACAAAAAGCTGATAAAGGTTCTCTTTAATAAAAGCTCATCTGTAAAGGTGCTTTGACGCTGTGTGGTTGATCTAACTGTGACGAGCAGTTCATCACTGCAGCAGGAAAGTGCTGTACATCTTGTACAAATAATGTATGTCCCTTTGGATCAAACAAAAATCTGAAAGACTTGAGTTCAAAGCCAGTGGTCAGTGGTTATTGCCTCGCTGAATGGAAAGGTGTCCCGTCAGAGCAGAATATATAAATATATATTATTCACGAGGTGGTTGACAACATTAAATCATGAAAAAAAGCACAGAAAGGGCTAAACAGAAGGAAAAGCAACAAAAGGATGTTTCTCTGAAAGACATCACATCAATTTGATTATTCACATGCTGCCAAGATATTTGCAAATATATATATATGTTGTTCATTTACACAGATATTTCATTTGTATGGTCTGTAGCAATTTCAAACATAAATGCAGGAAAACAGACAGAGACACTCAGCCATACGAACACATGCACTCGCACGCAAACATTTAGTATAGGAACCTGACAAAACAGGCCTGTTAAAAAATGTCAGAACAACGAAAGCAGACAAATCTGGATTCATTTGTTCTCTGATTCCCTCAACAAACGAATTATTAAGCTGCCAGTGACATTTAACATGCAGTAAAGTCATCAGTTACCACTTCAACTGTCCAGTTTGCTTCTGAAACCACAGGGAGTTTTGCATTTTCAAAATGTAATTTACTGAAGGAATAAACGGTACAAAGATGCCCTGTGTTCATACGTAATATATAGTACTGTTTGAGATCACTGTATTTAGAGGCAGCTGTAACTTCTGGTGGCTTCATTTACATAATCTTGTTCTAAAAGCAGCATCTCTGACAGAGCTTTTTTCCATGGCATTAAAATTATGCAAATAAGAACTTAAAATATAGCAACCACTGTGCGAACCGAACTGAGAAAAATGTGGGGGAAAAACTGGAACTTCCTTACAGTATGATGCAGTCAAACACAACATTCTACTGAAGTGACGAACAATCACACACAGACACTGATTCACAATTCACATACACACAGACAAGGGGTCGGACGTCCAATGAGTCAGACAAAATTGTTTTTCTTTTTGCTTTTCTTTTTTTTATACAAATATTTGTTCTCATAGATTATTTACATAAAATTTCATAGATTCATTTGAGACCATTTCACAATGGTATAGTTGAACTGATCGCCTGTTGGGATGTTTTTGGCTGAAATTGAGAGCTGATTGATGACAAATGAACTGAGACAAATTTTCCACGTGTCCAGGATTTAAAAAATGTACATGTCTGCAATTCTCAGATGCAAATCAAACCAAATGCTCTTTGCAACCTCATCTAAGATCAGCCGTTTACGTTTACAAGAAATTTGCAGTTGCAGCCACTTCCTAAAACATCAATCAATTCCTCTGGTCAAGGAGTCAAACAATATCATAAAAAGGCAGATTTGCTAAAAAGTTGATAAGTGATATGCTAATTAGATCTTCTCCATCAAACTATACTACCATTTAAAAGTTTAGAGTCGGTAAGGTTATTATTAGTAGTCTTTTATGCTCACTAGGCATTATGTACATTTAGGTAATCAAAAAAAATATATAGTAAAAAGTAAAATTGTGAAACATTTCTGCAATATAAAATAACTGTTTTCTATTTTAAAATGCAATTTATTCCCAAGCTGAATTTTCAGCCGCCATTACTCCAGTCTTCAGTGTCACATGATTCTTCAGAAATGTGCTGCTTAATATTTTATGGAAATTTAGATTTTTTTTCTTCATATTATTAATATTTTAGGATGAATAGAAACATATAAACATCGTTTGTAACATTATATGTGTCACTTTTGATCAAATAATTAGATCTTTGCTAAATAACACTCAATTTCTGTTATAAAAAATCTTACTGACCCCAAAATTTTGAATGGTAGTGTATTTGCCACTGAATCTTGCAGACACCAGGCTGTAGTCAGTGCTGAAAAAGGGAATTCTGGGAAACATGACTTGACTGCCAGGTTGAGTCTGACATTCTCATCCTCCACACAGACACTCATGATCACGGACAGAAGCGCTAATGCTCAAGGCTCAATTTTCAATTTTGCAAACAAAGTGAACTCTACTGTGATGCCACATCATTTGGAACCGACAGCTTACCCTTCTTTAAAACTAGCTGTGAGGATATTTATAGCCTGACTGCAACCAATCTGATGTCAATGGCACATGAATAAAAAACCCAAAATAGCAATACAGCAGAATTCAATCTGCAGCTCCCTCTCAGAATGGCACAGCAAAGAGAGCCCTAGCCAGCATTACCCACAAGGCTCTTGTGTCTTTTCTGATCAAAAGGTGAATGAGAACAGATGGTGATTAGAACCAGCATAAGTGAAGTCTAGTCACATAAAGCTGCCAGACGCGAACCACCACCACACAGACGATCCCTACTTCCCCCACAGACAGACGGCTTGTTGAAGTGATTCCTGTCAGTCCCAGTGCAGCTGCAGATCATGAGCATCCAGGAATTCAGAGGTGATGCCCAATGGATTGAGTCCGCCGATGGGCCCAGGCATAGTGATGTCCAGCCACTCCATGTTGTCCAGGCCAGTGTCTTGGAGACTAAAGGACAGGGCGGAGGAGGAAGGTGCAGGCGGGACGGTGAAACCCAGCTCTGAAGTGTCCATTGGGGAGTTTGGCTGCTCCAGTATCTGGCTTTGAAGCTCCTCCAGCAGGCCCAAAGTCCTCTGCTCCGGCTCTATGTCCCCAACCAGCGTGCCCTCTAGCAGAGCCTCCAACTGGTTGTCGGAGACCAGGGAGGCCAGGCTGGGCATGGGCTCCACCATGAGCGTCGGCGGGGGTGCCATCTGCACCTGGGCGGGTGGACGGGACAGGGCGGTGCTGATAGGCAGGGTGGTGATGCTGACCGTGACAGGCATCATCTTAGGCACAGATGGGTCCTGTTGACTAAAGGGAGTGATCTCTGCAGAAAATAACAGGGGGTGGCACAAGAAATTAAAAAGTTAACATTTTAGTTTAAAAAAAGTTAAATAGATTACTGACGGTAAACTTTTGAACGGTAGTGTATTTGCCACTGAATTTAGCAGATGCCAGGCTGTTACCGCAGGCAGCACTGGAAAAGGGGATTCTGGGAAATGTAGCAAGGATGAGCCTGACATTCTCAGCCTCCACACAGACACTCATGATTATCAAGTGTGAAAATAAACATCTGTATTTTAATTTATAGTTTGAGTTGACAAATGAACTATTGTAGTGTGCAACAAAATGACAAACTCACCTCCACTTTCTATTAAAATGTCAAAGAGATCATCCATCTGTTGACTCGTTGCTGTGGGAATCTACAAACAGACAAAAAATTTAAATTACTTTTCAGTACAAGGACAGCACTGAAGAAAAGGCAAATGAGAAGAAGCAATAATTAGTCAACTAAACTAACTAAAATTACTACAGTCATCACAGCATTTAACAATGGACAAGGACTACCTCTGGTTAACTGCAAACAAAGAGACAGTTCTCATGAAATAAAAAGTATTTATATAGCACCTTTAAAAAAATCGTTTACCGAATTCTTTGGAGAAAACAAAAAATGTCATACAATAAAATAGTGATATTGTATACTGAATTTTTTGTGACAGGTGTCGGAGTGCATTTATTGTATATTGAAATATTGATATTGAACTATCAAGTATTTCATTTTTCTTTTTCATGGGGGAATTGGAGATAATACTATGAGACCAGTATAGATATTTTTGTCTGTTTTTATCTGATAAGTATGTACTATGTAAGTATGTAATAACTTAACGGCCTTTTCCGTTGAGAGTACGCAGTGCGCAACTTGGCAGCCGCTTCTCTTCGGCCTTTGCTTTCTCTTTGTCTGTTTTTGTCGTGAAATCGTTTGGTTCGTCTACTTTTTGTTTTTTGTAAACATTTCCATCTTCACTTATCGATCTCCGGACTGGATTTATTATCAAACTTTTGAACTGTCCTCTTTTGGATGTTAACTTTGCCACACGCCTTACACTCCAGCGAGCCCTCTCCCCGGAACGATGGTGTGTTTGTACCGCTTGACAGTGTCGGTGGAGTGAGTCTCCACTTTCCACTTTCTCATCACTTTTACATTTTTCTCAAATAAATCTGGTTTGGCCGTGAGACTGATGGCCTCTTGTGTTTTTTTGCTATCCTTGCTGTTTTTCATTCAAATGGAGTTTTTTTTACACACCTGCGCAGTTGCGTCGTTTGACCTTGTGACGAGTGGGGGCGGGGCCGAGAGCTGATTGAATTTTCTTGTAATTTTTACATTCCAAAACCTGTTGTTAAATCCTTGATTGATTATTGTGCATGGAAGTTGGTTGATCCTCTGTCATTTTCTGCTGCACTCAGTGATTCCCCCCTCTCTGACTGCTGCAGTCTTTCCAGTGCTGAAGACATTCTTAATGTCTATGATAAAAGTATTTCTATTATTTTGAATCATTTTGCTCCCTTAAATTCTAGACAGGACCCTTCCTCGCACACTTCTCCTTGGTTCAACACTGAGCTTAGGGCAATGAAAACCAAGGGCCACTGGCTGGAAAGGCTTTATAAGAAAACTGGCCTTATTGTTCACTCCTGAACAACACATTAAGCAGTACAGGAACGCTCTTAATGCGGCTCGATCATCTTATTTCTCTACTTTTATTAATAAGTCCAAAAACAGGCCTAGAACATTATTTACTACGATTAAAATAAGAAAACTGGCCTTATTGTTCACTCCTTGATATACAGTATACTGAACACATTAAGCAGTACAGGAATGCTCATAATGCAGCTTGATCATCTTATTTCTCTACTTTCATTAATAAGTCCAAAAACAGGCCTAGAACATTATTTACTACGATTAAAAAGTTAACTCAGCCTCCCGCACAGTCTCTAGAGGGCTCTGATCAAATGTGTGATGCTTTCCTGAACTTTTTTCAGAGTAAAACATCTCATACCTGTCTACACCCTACCTCAGTTCCCACTACTGAACTTCTCTCATTATGCCATGCTCATAGCTTCTCTAGTTTTGACTCTATTGTCCCCACAGTGGTTGATGAGATAATCAGGCTGTCTAATTCCTCTACTAGTCTTCTTGATCCTGCACCTACCTCTTTAATGAAGAATTGCTTGCCTGCTTTGTCACTACCCATCACTCACTTCATTAATATGTCAATGTCATCTGGAACTGTACCATCAAAGCTTAAGATTGCTGCTGTCACTCCAGTTATTAAAATGCATGGTCTTCCCCAAGTAGCTTTTTCGAACTTATCTTTTCTCTCTTAGATACTAGCCTCCCAGTTACAGGCCTTCTTAACAGCACACACCCTCTATGAGCCCTTACAGTCTGGCTTTCGTCCATTACACAGTACTGAAACAGCCCTGGTTAAGGTTTTTAACGATCTTCTCTTAGCTTCTGATTCTGGTGCTCTCAGCACTCTCCTTCTGTTAGACCTCAGCTCTGCTTTTGACCCTGTTTGTCATGAGATACTCCTCTCACGGCTTTCTGCAATTGGAAGTACTGGCACATCCCTTGAATGGTTTTCCTCCTATTTGACCGGGAGGCAACAATTTGTTATATACCAGAAACACAAACCATCTACCAAATCCATTAGTTCTGGTGTACCTCAAGGTTCTGTTTTGGGCCCTCTCCTCTTTACCATTTACAGAATATGCTACCAATTGGACAAATAATCAAACGCTATGGGTTTAACTTCCACTGTTACGCAGATGATATCCAAATTTATTTTAACACACCTTCCACCTCAGTGTTTCCTCTGCCTGCATTAACAAATTGCATCAAGGAACTCAAGCTTTGGCTGGAGGCAAATTACCTTAAATTGTAAAATTGATTGGTTCTAAAGCTGTTGTATCTAAGCTTTCTGGTCAACTGATGGATCTGGATGGTGATCTGATTATGCCCTCCACTTAAGTTTCCAATCTTGGTGTTCTCATTGATTCCACTCTTTCATTCAATGATCACATTGGTAAAGTAGTAAAGACAGCTTTTTTCCACCCAAGTAATATCTCTCGTATTCGATCCTCTCTCAGTCATCAGGATGCTGAAACTGTTACACATGCCTTCGTCACATCTCAACTAGATTACTGTAATTCACTTCTTTATGGCCTGTCAGCTAATAATATCAAACGACTACAATATGTTAAAAACTTTGCAACTCACTTGATTACTCACACAAGAACGAGCGATCACATTACCCCCATCCTTCACCTTCATTGTCTTCCGGTTTCCTTGCGCATAAACTACAAGATACTACTTCTCACTTATAAAGCTCTCCATAACCTTGGTCCTACATATTTATCTGACTTACTCCTGCCCGCTCCTTACAATCTTCTAGTGAGGGATTGTTAGCCACCCCTAAGTTTCATCTGGTGACTATGGGAGCTAGGGCTTTAAGGGTTGTGTCTCCCAGATTGTGGAATGCTCTTCCCCAAAACATCCATCAAGCATTCTCCCTTATCTCCTTCAAAAACCTCTTAAAAAATTTTTTTTCTCTGAGTATTACTCTTCAGTTTTCAGTCTGTAATTTGTACCCTGTTATGGACGTTTATCTACATTCTCTCTGTATCTCTAATCTAACTTTGTAAGTGGTCTCTGTATATTACTCTCAGCTCTTGGTATGTGTTCTGTCTTCTGGTATTGATGTTTATTTGTTTCTGTTCCTTAAACCTGACTTGTAAAGTGACCTTGAGTGTTGGAAAGGCGCTATATAAATATAAATTATTATTATTATAAAATTTCAGTCATCATATGGCATCAGAGGATTTGGAATATAGGGTCAGTCCATCTTAAGTGGTCTATTTTTGTTTCCTAATTTTTTGAGTTGTTACCTTTATGTACTAGAACTGCAAAACACTGAGACCAAAAATAAAACCTTTTTTTATTATTAGTTTAACTCAAGCAGCCATCTCTGTGGTCTAGATAAGTTTATATCCGGTTCCAGAGATAAACCAACAGGAAAATGAGTGGTATTTTTAAAAAATTATTCTGTGGTATTTTTAAGCAAATTCTCACCTCCACAGACACAAACACACACACACACACACATACACAAAAGATAAGTCTCAAACTTGAATTGTTCTGCATGCACATTATACTTACAGTGCCCCTTGAAAGTTTGTGAACTCTTTAGAATTTTCTATATTTCTGCATAAATATGACACAAAACATAGAGAACAAAGAGAACCCAAACAAACAAGGGAGACAAAAATATGTTCTTTGTCATTTATTTAATCAGGAAAATGATACAATATTACATATCTGTGAGTGGCAAAAGTATGTGAATCTCTAGGATTAGCTGTTAATTTGAAGGTGAAATTAGAGTCCATCTGTTCAGAGGTGTTTTTAATCAGTGAGATGACTATCAGGTGTCAGTGTGTACCCTGTTTTATTTAAAGAACAGGGATCTATCAAAGTTTGATCATGTTTGTGGAAGTGTGTCATGGCACAAACAAATGAGATCTCTGAGGACCTCAGAATAAGAGTTGGTGTTGCTCATCAGGCTAGAAAAGGTTACAAAAACATCTCTAAAGAGCTTGGACTCCACCAATCCACAGTCAGACAGATTGTGTACAAATGGAGGAAAATCAAGACCACTGTTACCCTCCCCAGGAGTGGTCCACCAACAAAGAACACTCTAAAAGCAAGACGTGTAAAAGTCCACTAGGTTTCAAAGGACTACAGGCTAACTTCTAAGCAACTAAAGGCCTTTCTCACATTGGCTAATGTTAATGTTTATGAGCCCATCATCAGGAGAACACTGAACAAACATGGTGTCCATGGCAGAGTCGCAAGAAGAAAGTCACTGCTCTCCAAAAAGAACATTGCTGCTCATCTGCAGTTTGCTAAAGATCATGTGGACAAGCCAGTGGAATACTGGAGAAATGTTTTGTGGATGGATGAGACCAAAATAGAACATTTTGGTTTAAATAAGCAGCGTTATGTTTGGAGAAAGAAAACACCTGGTACAGGACTGCTTTGAACGGGAGCGGGCGGTCTAACAATATCCCGTTCCCGACGTCCATTTAGAACAGCATATCTGCGCTTTATTCTTATTGACCACCGGTACACAGCTTGCGCTCAGGACTGATATGCACACGCTGCACGCATGCTTTAAACGTCACGCGTTTTATTTGCGTGGTCTGTGCGCAGCATGTGCATAACGATGCTCAGAGCAGGCTGTACCTGTGATAAATATACGGCCCTCAGACAGAACAGGCAGGTTGTCCATGAGTGACAGAGCATAATAAGGATGGAGCAAAGTGTGGATGCGCTGTCTTTGAAGGACGTTCAACTCGGTTTTGTTTATATTTTGCTTAGCCTATAATTTTAAATTAAAGATGTCGTATTTATTTATTTTTCTCTGCAACACTTTTCCTACTGTTAACAGAAAAATGTCAAACGAATTTTGTATTTTGACAAGATGAATAAAAATAGCTAATAGGCTATTTTTGTACAACCTACATTTGTATTTTTTCCCTCTCTGCAGCACCTTTTCCCTATTGTGTTGTCAATGTTAAACAAATTGTATCCTGACAAGTCGAATAAAAATAAGAAATACAATTTTTGTAAAACATTTTTATTTTCTCTGACACTTTTTTTCCAACTGTGTTGCATAACATATTAAACTAATTTTGTGTCTTAAGATAATTCATATAAATTCAAGTCAAAGTCAATAAATTCAAGACTCTTGACAAGATTAATAAAATAACATACAATTTTGTGCAGACTACACATTTATTTGCCAGCCTATCTCTTTCTTTCAGTAGCGGAAATTTAAATGTGAGATTCTGGAAACGAGATCTAACTTTAGTGGGAACGGTCGGGTCGGGAAGAAAATTATTCTAAGCGGACAGCGGGTGAACAAAGAGTGAATATATAGCAGGAGTGGGTGGGTGTGGAATATAACCTTGCGGGAGTGGGCAGGTCAAGTGGGTCATGAAGCAAGACAACGACCCCAAGCACACTAGTTGTTCTACCAAAGAATGGTTAAAGAAGAACAAAGTTAATGTTTTGGAATGACTGAGTAATATTCCGGACCTTAATCCAATTGAAATTTTGTGGAAGGACCTGAAGCAAGCAGTTCACAGGAGGAAACCCACCAACATCACAGAGTTGAAGTGGTTCTGTACTGTGGAATGGGCTAAAATTCCTACAAGCCGTTGTGCAGGACTGATCAGCAGTTACAATAAACGTTACTTGCAGTTATTGCTGCAAAACGGGGTCACACCAGATACTGAAAGCAAAGATTCATATACTTTTGCCACTCACAAATATTTAACACCGGATCATTTTTCTCAATAAATAAATGAAATAGTATATATTTTTGTTTCCTTTGTTTGATTTCAGGATTTGTGTGAAAATCTAATTATGTTTTGGGTCATATTTATGCAGAAATATAGAAAATTCTAAAGGGTTCACAAACTTTCAAGCAGCACTGCACATCGGTACCCCCTGAAGAAGGTTTAGGACTGAAAATCAAACCCTTTTCTATTGTAAACTGACCTTAAAAGTGGAACTTCGAGCAAAATTCGAAGTCTAAGGAACAAGAATATGCTAAATGTTTTGAAACAATATAGAGGTAATCACTAAAAACAAAAATTTAACCCTTTGACATGTAGGATCACACCATTTTGATTAGTCCATCCAGCACATTGTGATAAACTGCTAAATTCAAATATGCTTTGGCGCTCTGACTATCAGAAACTTGCTTGGCGCTTGTCATATTATCATAACTGTTCAGTGTTTTCAACCATGTTTATTTTAGGTTTGACATTAAAATACACACAAGTACTAAAAAAACCTTAAACATAATTAACTGTAATTTGCTGTAATTTGACACATTTGAATTATATCATTGTGTAGGTAACTAAAGTTTATTCTTCTCCCAGTTCACCGGCCACTTACTTTCATTTCTTTCAAGAGAACTGGATGAATTTACCTTTTGTAAATCTGTCAGACTCTGATTCTACCCGTTGCAATCTAAATTAATGACTTAGTTGGAATATTTTAAGCATATTGTGTGAACGGGTTAAAAATGGTCAAGCAACCACTTGAGATGGACTGACCTATTGTGCTCGAGTCACATGGAATACTGCACATAATTGGTGCATTTTTTTCTGTTTTGGAGATTGGTAGTATAGATCACCATCCCCATTCCATGTATGAAAAACAGAGGCTCGTTGCTTAAGATCTAATTTTGTGTTTCTAATTTTTGGATGAGGTAAAAATTGACAACTGCTGAAACAACCCACTATTCAACCCAGAATTTGTACGAGCATGCATAGATATATAGGAAACAAAAAGTCATCACCTCTGAGACGGCGGCATTCTGTAGGCTGCGGGTCTGTTTGACGGCCTCCTCATAGCGGGGTGGTTCTCTGTTCTTGTGCGTATGGTTGAAAACTGGGGACTGCTGGATGAAGGATGTCTGGGGATAAAAAACTCAATGAGCACTCAACTCAAAACAGAACTCAACACTAAAAGCCTCTCAATAAATGTAGGATGTTATACTTTGTTTAGTGGCCCATTGATAAGGGTTGTTGGGACGGGGGAAGTCTGACGTGAGATCCTGCTATCTGGGGAGCTGCTGAGGAAGCACTGAGGTATCTCCAGGCCTACTGGGTTCTCATTGGTACCGTGCTGGAAACCTGACCTCTTGGTGGTGCCCAAAGGCAGGGCCTGTGTGAAGAGTAAACCAATAGGCCATGAGCATCCAGAAACACCCACTAGCATCATAGAGAGCATTTGTGTTTGTATTATGATCTTTCTGCTTGGTATGAGAACAAGTCTTTTCAGGTCACGCTGGCAAGTGTCCACCAGGCACGGCCGTCGATGAAAATGTTATCAGCTCATCACAATCAATGAGCTCTAGTTACACAAGTCATCCAGGACTCAGGCCAGGCTCGTTCACTATGCCAAAGTAATGGTCATCTAGCTGGGAAACCTTAGCATGGTGCCCTGCTGCCAGGACAGGCCAATTACAGTAGAGTGAAAGCCTAGAAAGAAATGAGACCAGCAGCTACCATCCATCTCATTGATGAATGTCTCTACTGGACAGACAAAACTAGATGCTCCCAGATTATGTTCACTTGTTCTGACTGCTCCTGCTGGCACTGATCCTGTTCTTACTCAGATTCCACAGTCATTCAATACTCCGTAACATAAAATAAAAGCTCTGTAGTGTGGATAAAAGTGATATGCCTGTCTGACGTTTGGTTATGTTGAGAACAACATCAATGACAACTTTGTCTGCTAAATTTTTTATAGTAATCAGTAATACAAAATTGTTTGATTTATCTACATTTCAGATATATTTTATGCTGAACATACTCATTTTGAACATATATCTATAGAAGACCATTTCCACCACTGAATAAAAAAAAAAAAAAAGGTAATGCACCCTTTTCACAAGAATGTGATGACGCGTTATTTGTATTTAAAAAAAAATGTATGTACATTTATAACACTATTCTTTGTATTATAATACCTTTGCATCAAATTACAAAAAAAAAACCTAGTTTACGCTAATGCATGGGTGTTTCTAATGCAGTGTCTATGGGAGGGATGGTAAATTTGACATGGTTCTCTCTTCTGACTGCCGTTATCAGTCTCTCTCAATTTTTTTCCTTTTATTGAAAGTCATGAAAACACTATCATAGAGTTTTTCTTTTGCTATTTGAGCAAATGGGGGTGCAAAAAATATATTTGTGGTACTCTCTCATTCACTGCTCTTCAAGTTAACCCAACTATGATGGCTTCCGCTGCTGAGAAACACAGAAATGTGAAAAAGGTCCATTGCGACTTATCTCACTATACTGAATTTTTCGTAGCAATTGTAGCGAATCAGCTCATGGGAAATATGAATAATTAACCATAACTAGTTATGATTAATTATGAATATTTTAGATCCGCTGTAGATATTTAGCTGACCTCTCAGGGTCAACTGTCTTGTCAATTCTAAGAACGTTAATTTCCTGGTTAAGGGAAATAACTTTCTTACTGTACAATTCTACAAAAGCTTGTAGCGTAAATCTGCATGATTAGTGACTCCGGTTATGAGCAAACAATGAACACGTCAAGTGTGATACAAGTAAGGTTTTATTAACTACATAAACACTTAAACTAGTCCAACATACTACATAAACACAGTTTAGATCTCGCTATTCGGACTTTTTTCCTCAGAATTGCGATATGAAATTTTCTCAGAATTGCATGACAAACTCGCAATTGCTAGTTATATACAGAATAGTGGGATATAAACTCGCAACCGCGAGAAATTCAAAATTCTGACTTTTTTTCTCACAATTGCGAGTTATAAAGTCCAGTTCTGAGGGGAAAAAAGACTGATGTTCTCAGAATTGCGAGTTTATATCTCACAATTCTGACTGAACTCGCAATTGCAATTAAGAGAAAAAAAGTCACAATTGTGAGATACAAACTCGCAATTGTGAGAAAAAAAGTTTATCTCGCAATTTTGATTTTGTCTCAGAATTGCGACTTTATTTCCTAGAACTGCAATTCTGAGTTTTTCTTGCAATTGCAAGTTCATATCACGTAATTCTGAGAAAAAAAGTCAGAACTGAGAGTTTATATCACAATTCTAAGTTTATTTCTCAGAACTGCGAGGTTATATCTTGCCATTTTGACGTTATACCTCACAATCCTGAGAAAAAAGTCAGAACTGCAAGATGTAAACTCACAATTGTGGGAAAAAGCCAGAACTGTGAGATAAAAAAAAGTCGCAATTACTTTTTTTTTTTAAGTGGCCAAAACGGGCATATACAGGTGCATCTTAATAAATTAGAATGTCGTGGAAAAGTTAATTTATTTCAGTAATTCAACTCAAATTGTGAAACTCGTGATGATTTTGGCTCACATTTAACAAAAACCCACCAATTCACTATCTTAACAAATTAGAATATGGTGACATGCCAATCAGCTAATCAACTCAAAACACCTGCAAAGGTTTCCTGAGCCTTCAAAATGGTCTCTCAGTTTGGTTCACTAGGCTACACAATCATGGGGAAGACTGCTGATCTGACAGGTGTCCAGAAGACAATCACTGACATTCTTTACAAGGAGGGTAAGCCACAAACATTCATTGCCAAAGAAGCTGACTGTATATCAGCTCAATTACACAGAGTAAAGAAAGCAGGTCCAATAACATAATATTATGTTCATATGGCGCTCCATAATTAACTTCTTACATATACAATGTGTGCTTGTATTTTTTTTATAATATCTGTCTTATTTTAAAGTGTTAGTTCACCCAGAAATTATGTGAGTGTATATAAGTGTTTTACTCACCCTCAAAGCATCCTAGATGTATATGACTTTCTTCTTTCAGACGAATTCAATCGTAGTTATATTAAAAATTGTCTTGGCCCCTCTCCAAGCCTTACAATGGGGGTAAGCGGGTGCTTTTTGTCAACAGTCCAGAAGACGTGAAATAAAGAGCGTGCATCTGTAATAAAACATGCCTCACATGGCTCCGGGGGGTGAATAAAGGCCTCCTGTACCGAATCCATGCATATTTGTACGATAAATATCCATATTTCAAACGTAATAAACACTTTTTTCTCACTTCTGCTGATTGTCGTACGTGAAAGCCGTTCCGGCGGATGACATAGGATGTCAGCGTTGCATGATTAGTGACGAATGCGGAGAGAGAACAGAACAAAATGCCTGTCACGAATTAGAAGCACAAAACGAGGATTTGTAAAGAAAAATATTGGAGGATTTCGATATATAAGCCAAGAGGAGACTGGTTTTCCTTTGCTAAAGTAAGGAAACTTTTCTTCCTTTGGTCCTGTAAACAAACTCGTGAGACTATCATATCTCAGAGGCGTGTGCACGATACGTCCTACGTCATCCGCCGGAACGGCTTGCAAGTATGACAGTCAGCGGAAGTGAGAAAAAAGTGTTTATTAAGTTTGAAATATGTATATGTTTCTTACAAAAACGCATGGATTCGCAATAGGAGGCCTTTATTCACCCCCCAGAGCCACGTGAGGCACGTTTTATTGCGGATACACGCACTTTATTTCACGTCTTCTGGACTGTTGACAAAAAGCACCCACTTACCCCCATTGAAAGGCTTGGAGGAGCCAGGATAATTTTTAATATAACTCCAATAGACCCTTTTAGGGCTGACGTCACATTTACGTCACCGCACTAGCTGGAGGCAAAACAAAGGGGAAACTGGAGGCGGCCAATTCAAACCAGTGCAGATTCCGTTACATAAGGAGCTTAAAATATCATCTTATTGTGATGTTGGGTCCCAGAATCGATGTAGTAGAAGCTCCAATTTTACATTTTAAAGCATACCTGCTGCCACCTCCAGACAAAAAAACAGACGACAGCTGTGGTTAAATGCGATAAAACGAGCGGACTGGACAGAAATGATCGTCAAAAATGCTCGTTTGTAGCGCACACTTCTTGTCAGAAAAGGTTAAATAAAGTATTGTCTTTTGTTGTTATGTATTTTTTATTTCTAGAAAATTTCAAGAAAATATTCACATCTTAATTTAAATGTACTGTATGTAAAGTAATGGTATGTAATGTCACTGTAAACTTACATACTTTACAGGAGGTATATACTTTAAAATAACTATTTGTATCATTACATGACACATACATCTTCAAATAATATATCCATCACATTGATTGAATGTTTAACTTTTTTTGTATTTTGGCCCAGTTCACTCTAATGCAGCTGTAAAAAATAGTTGCCTGCTGAAATTGAAATATATATGCATCTTCATGACTAGACAGACACAGGTGAGTTTCTCTTTATTATAATGTTACACGTTAGGTTTCTCTATAGATGTGAATCACTCAACTAGAGGAAATCCTGTCAGATCAACCATGCTTTGAGCTAGAGTGTAGGGTCGGCCAATTTGGTTTCGTCCGTTAAAGTTAACCTTTTTAAATAACAGTCGCGATCCTGGACAGCGAGTGACTTTACATATGCAGGTAAAATCGGATTTTCTCCAGTCATTGTTAAAAAACAAAACAAAAACAAGCTAACAAACTTCATAGCTAGCGTTAGTGAAGCAGTCAGGGGAATCTTTCTTCCTCCACCTAAGCTCCGCCCACAGAAAAACGTCACAATGTTTACTAACAGAAAAAGGGTCTATTGGATTTGTCTGAAAGAAAAAAAATAATTCAGGGTGAATACATCACAGGCTAATTTTTAATTTTTGGGTGAACTAACCCTTTAATATATTTTAAAATGTAACTTATTCCTAAGATGGCAAAGCTAAATTTTCAGAAGCCATTTCTCCAGTCTTCAGTGTCACATGATCCTTCAGAAATCATTCTAACATGCTGATTTGGTGTTGAAGGACCAATTCTTAGTATTATCAATACATTATTAAATATTATATAAAACATATAAATTATATTACATAATATTTATGCTATTATTATATAGTATACGGCAACATATTTGTATTTGGTTATAAGACTGACCTGAACTATGTGGTTGTGACTGAGCAGCTGTTGTGATGTAGGACTCTCTGCTTTGGTGGGCTGTATTTGGGGGGTCTGAATTATACCTGGCACTGATGGAGAGGCAGTCTGCAAAACTGGCTACAAAAAGGAAAATCAAGATTAAATTGAATTATTGACAAGTATTTACTGCACCTAACACGTATAAATATACACAAGTTTTGTGTTACCTGTAGTTTGACATTAGTGTTGGGCAGCTGGATGGTAGTGGTATTATTTGCCAGGGGCACTGGAAGAAGGATCTGAGTGCTCCCATGCGGAGTGGTTAGAAGAGTCTGGGGCTGTCCTATGACCTGTGGGAATCCTTGGTGGCTGATAATGAACTGACGGAGAGGAGTAGCTGTCACCTGGTTAGGATGGGCCTCCTCAAGCTTCAATAGCGTTGACGTAGTGTGTGGACTCAGTGTGCAGTTAGGAGGGACAGTGTTTTCTGTTTTGACAGACGCCAACATAGTGGCTGGACTGGAAGTGTATTTATTTTCTGCAGGTGGAACAACCTGTCCACTCCTTTTTTCCACCTCTAGCTGCATCTTCAGTTCTTCCACCAGCTTCTGCTCCTGCTTCAGTTTACGCAGCAGTTCCTCAATCTGTCGCTCCTTTTCGTGCAGTCTCCGGTCCTGTTCCTCAGGAACAGGAGCTGCCGTTACTAAACTGGGGTTTTGGCCCTCTGCCTGTCCCTCCATGGATGCGTCCTCTTTGCTGTGAAGCTCTGAAGAACCAGGAGACACAGGTGGAGTGGAGCTCCGATTTTCAGAGGGCTGTTGGATGGGGGATAGGGTTGTAGTGGTCCTGGACACCTCCATAGGTGTGCTGCAGGGCTGCATGTTAGGTCCTGTGAAGATGTTGGGTGCAGTCCAGGCATTGTTTTCTTGAAAAGGCTTAAGCCGTTCAATTAGGTCTGTTTTTGTTCCAGACACTGGAAGACCACGTAACTTTAACTCCATTTTCAGCTCTGCCACCTGCCAAAATAAACCCATTACTAGTGAAATTATAAACTCTATAAATATTAGCTCCATAGAGAAAATAAAGTGATTTCTGGGCTACCACATATATCACCATAAAAATAGCTACAAATCATCTGGATTCTACAACATTTAATAATTAAGATGCATATTTACTGGAGACAAACCGTCTGAACCAAATTTTACATAATGGAAAAGTCATATTAATTTATTTATATTTAGTATACACAACCGTATTAAAGTTTGGAATTGGAAATTAATACTTTTTTCTTCATCAAGGATGCATTAAATTGATCAAAAGTGACAAAAAAGACAATGTTAAAGATTTCCATTTCAAATATATGCTTATATTCTTTTGAACATTCTATTTATCAAAGAATCCTGAAATAAATGTTATCATGATTTGTACAAAAGTATTAAGCTGTTATCTGTTTTCAACACTGATAATAATAAGAAACGTTTTGTGAACGTTGAATCATATTATATTACAATATATTTTGTGAAGGATCATATGGCCCTGAAGACTGGAGTAATGACTGCTAAAAATTCAGCTTTGCTATCACAGGAATAAATTAAAATGGAAAACGTAATTTATTGTGTAACAATATATATTACTTTTTATTGTATTTTTAAATAAATCCAGCCTTGATGAATATAAGAAATGTCTTTCAAAAGCATTAAAAAATTCTACCAACTCCAAACTTTTGAACAGTTATGTATCTATTATTGATAAAAAAATTTCTGTGGAAAAAAAGAATCTGTCTGTACCTTCATCTCCTCCAGGTTGGCAGGTAGTATGCCTGCCTTGCGGTTGGGCCGCACAGGTGTTGCTGTGGGCAGAGACACCACAATAGAGGCAGAAAGGCTGCTGGTGCTGTTGATAGCCACTATGGCACTGCTGTTTTGGCCTTCTATCACAGGCCTGGTGAGAAGGGAAGCAGATGGGAAGAAAGGGAAGAAACAACACTTAACATCACAGAAGGAACAATTCTCAATAAATAAACACCATCGAACAATGCTGAGGCAGAATACAATGACAGCTAAAATAAATCTTGCACAAGAGATGGAAAAGGAAGTAGAGCAATAACCTCTTCGACTTCCTGCCATTAATAAAAATCACTAAACAGGATTTGTTATTGGAAAATAGGTAATGGTCCTGATGGCCACCGGCAACAATAATAGCGTTTTAGACATTTTCCACCTAAAACCATTCATATGCAACCATTATACTAATAGCTGACAAAATATGGCTAGCTTCAAAAGTGAAAGATGACCTTTAACAAATTACGTAAGACAAAGGCAAAATGGTTTGCATCCACCGAACTCAACGATAGGATTGGTAAAGCAGTACATACCAAAAACATCAGGGCCTGATACACATATAACAAACACACAGATCCAGATCTCCTTGCTTACTTGAGAGGTGCAGGAAGGATGGTCTGGTAGTTGTAGTGCTGCTGTTGCTGTTGGCTCAGGATTTGTAGCTGCAAAAATAGTTGCTGTTGTTGTAGTAAACGAGCATATGAGGAATCCATCGGGGCTTGGTTGGGTTCTTGTTTCTGGTCTGGGGGAATGTATTGATGATATTTTAACTTTTTCACACGTGGCTTGGCCTCCTTGCTCTTCCTACTGCGGCTCTTGTCCCCAGGTAACTTAGGCTGACTTTGCTGTAAATTGAACAGAGATTTCCCATTATGTATTACATCTAACCATAATCATAAATCATAAATTTTTGTTGTTTCTTCAGTTCTTTACTGACCTTTATAAGGGTGGGCCCAGACTTCACAGGGGCCACGGTGACTAGCTGTGGCATGGGTGCTGGAGGGCTAACTGATTGCTCTTTGGTGGAAAAAGGCTTGAGGAAATCTGTTGTGTTGGTCACTGCAGGAAAGTGCTGTTAAAAACAACACATGATGAATCTCAGGTGTTCTACAAAACCTAAATGACTAAATTCTGTTTTTTTGCACCATGAGCTCTGAAGTGAAAAGGAGGTGGCAAGAATACCTGTAAGAAGTTATTAGGCAATGGTGAGGACTCTTCAATGGCCCGGACCTCCCCAGGTGAGGCTGCAGAACCCTGGGACCCATGACTAGCTGGCTGCTCGGGTGAAAACGCATCTCCACTGTCCTCATCAGCTAGTTCCTCTAGAGTTCTAGGGTACTGCATCTGACCATCTACCCAATTAAAACAAAGGACAATGTATCATACTTCATTCAATTTATGCGCCATGTGATTGTGCATATTTACCCCAGTTTAATACATACTGTAAATATAGTTTGCATTTTCACCAATGATAGCCTCCTTGACGCTGGAGTCCACAGGCAGGATGTTCTTCTCCACTAGCTCCATGGGGCCGGGGCGTTGAGCGATCTTCTCATTCAGGTCATCAGCCAATCGAGCTCTCTTCAATTTCAGCTGAGTGGCCTGCAGAGAAGGCTCCGCCACTGTCTCTGCCAACCCACCAAAAACCAGAACAGCAATCATTTCAACCCACACTCCTACTGAAACACCACAACAATCACACAGAGGTCAACTCAATCACAGAAGTAAATAATACACAAGTACAGCATCTGGATGACACTTTTGAACATGAATTTTTCTTGCTTTTTAATTATGCTGACTGGTTAAGCTGCCACTGCTTTCTGTTGAACTAACTTAATAGCATAGTTTGGTAAAACTATTAAGACATAAACATTGATCATCATACATACATCAGCATATATTGCATATCAGATATGGCCAACATATGTTCAACCATACATGATTTATACGCTAAACCAACAGTTATTTAGACAACATATATAGACAACAAACCTGACTGGTATGGTTGAGCTTCCATTCACCATATTTGTTGTGCTCTATGTATATGTGCGTTTATCAATGTTTATATATGAATAAAATCCTAAATTAAATTTGTTCATCATGTTAAAGTGATCATAACTCTTTAGGAGACAGAATAATCTGCACATTTTTTATGGATTATATTTTTTTCTGATCATCTGATGTGAAGTTTTGCTGGAATGGACTTTCAATGGATGGACAGAAATCTGTCAGGCTTCATTAAAAAATATCTTAATTTCTATTTTGAAGGTAAACGAAAGTTTTATGGGTTTGGAACGGGGTTCCATTTTTGGAAAGTTGTCTCTTACAGGCAAACAAATGGCTCTCACGTGTCAGTTCTTTTAATGAAAGATGAGTTGAAACACTGCTTTTTACTTATAACAGCATTAACAGAGAGAAAATGTAAAGTAAAATGGATCAGAAATTACTCCCAAATCATTCAGAATGAACTCAAAATCAAACTGAATAAATAGTATTGGATTTGGAATCGAATCAGAAAAATCTGTATTGATGCCCATCTCTACTAATAAGATTTGAGAGCTACAGCTACAGCTTTGTTTAAAAACAAAGTAGATTTTAAAAAACTTTTCCCAGTAGGTAGATTAGCTGCCATTACATGTATCGTGAATGGAGGATTACCTTGTAAGATGTGCATGCGGACCAACTCGGCCCTTTCTGGACGGCTGCGTATTTTGTGCTTTAGGAAATTTTCAGTCTACAGAGAGAAATGATACAGAGTTTCAGAAAACGAAATCCCTCTGTAATTCAGGGATCAGAAAGTAACCATTATAATGATCTCCGCTGTGCTTTGCAAATAACAAACACATTTACAGAAGGCTTAAGCTATTAAATCAACTGAGAGGTTCACATGCGTCCCATTACAGAGATCTGGGCAACCCTGAAGAGGTTTCAGAGAGGATCAGAGAGACCAGATGGCTGAGGAAAGTGCACGAGGTCTGGGGCTTGGTGCCCTGCTCTTACCCTGGCTCTCTCAAGGCTGCGGATCTGTTCATGGAACGCTGCAGGGCTCTTCAGGGCTGTAAAGTCACACACACACACAAGCAGAGCATCAGTCTCATGAGGACACAAGGCCATCACCCGCACTTCAAACACACACGGCTCTTTCATCTCCTGCAGTCTTTCTAAATGCTGTAGTGCCTGGTCTCACATATTACTCAGAGCAGAGATGGTGGGCCCACACAGAGATTAGCACACAGACTACACGGTGCCCTTAAGGACCAGACAGCTACCTCTTAATCCCAGCAGAATCTATGCCTGATATTACACTGAGCTATGAGACAGCATGCAGTGTAATCCCATCAATCAGCTCAGACATGGCCAGAGGAAAAAAAATGTAAGTTTATGTAAGTATGAGAGATCTCACACACTTCTCGGTGACTTGGTTGAACGGAAAAATGGTTATGAGCAATAACAGAATGAGCGGTGGTGAGGCGAGAGGTGAGCTTTTGGAAAAAAATACCATGTGCATTGGTCACCTATGCCTGGTTGTGAACTATGCTGAAGAGCGAGAATAAACAACTGATTCAAAAGCAGATTTGGTACAGAAACCACAGCACCAACTGATTTCTTAAACGCACAGTAAAAAATGAAGGTTTACATGACATCAAAATTTTAGATAATGTGTCACAAATAAACATGTAATGTGGAACACAAAGGATGTTACACTACCATTCAACAGTTTTTTTGGTGAAAAGTTTCTTATGCTCACCAAGTTGCATTCATTTGATAAAAAAAAATACACAGTTAAACCAATAATAATGTGAAAATTATTAGAATTCAAAATAGTTTTATTTTAAAGGTTATATTTTTATATATTTTAAGATGTAATTTATTCCTGTGACGGAACAGTTTTGAACAGTATAGTGCAAAATGTGATTGGGAGAAAGATGTCACTTTTAAATATCGCGACATAATTTTTCACATTTACAACAGAACAATTATTATTCCTTAAATATAAGTTAGATATGTGAATAAAGCCCTGTAAGGTCAACATAACATTTATTGCAGCTTATTCTTTTAGTGCATGATTTACTGGTTAGTAATTCAAAATGTAAAAAAAGATTTGGAGCTTGTTTTTTTTAGTCTCTCTTACTTTTTAACCCCTCTCTTTCAGTTGGTACGTAGTGCCACTTTTCACAATCCAATTAATTCATGATGGATAAAATCAAATCCCACCATACATTTTTTTAGATTATGAAGGAAAAATGGGCCACAAAATGCCATTTCATGACTAAAACATTTTTACATATTTAGTTAATATTGGCAGTTTTCATACAAGAGTAAATATGAATCATCCTCTCGTTCATATGCTGGTGCACACAGCAGTATTAGATGGCAGGGGCTGTACTCACGTGGCATGATGCCCTGATCAATGAGTTGCTCGCGGGTGCGTCTCTGCTGTAGCCTCAGCTGGAGAACTGGTGGAGAGAAGCAGAAGCAGCGTTATGTTCTTGACCCAACCTCTAGATCAGGCTTGTCAACACTTCACCCAGAATGGAACTTTTCCACCTGATTAACACACCTACACACACACACACACACACGCAACAAAAGGAACTCTAACCTTTAGCACAACCGAAATCACACACATTTCCTCTCTAGAATTACATAAGAGCCACCATTAAAAAAAACTAAACTAGAAACTTCTTCCTGCTACCAAAACAACAGGCTCTCGAGTGACCCTTTTGAAGTGTGCCGTTTGGAAGACTTCCTGGGAAAATTCTCAAGACATTTTTCTTTGCTCTCTTGGCTGAGCCTCCTGGATTTACTTGGCTGATTATAAAAACCAGCTCAAATTGGTCAGAAAGACAACATGATAACGTCTGACATTTATCAAGAATCATGAGCTCTATTAGCTGGGAATTTATAAATCTATGAAGGCACGTTCAACACACAGCTGCATGGGGATTATTAAAGAATTTCCTTGTTAATGCTCAGTTCTTGTAGCTCAACATGGCACTAACAATATCATCCACATACATTTTATGCATATTAATAAAACATTTGCTGTCAGTCTGCCAGTGTCAAATGCAATGATGTTCTAAATGCTTATATGCAGGAACAGAAAGGTTTAATCTGACTAAAAACTGAGTCAGTTTACTGTTAACAAGGTCAGCTGAGGTTGAACAAACGAAACTCTGCAGGGTGCTGAGGGCACATGATTGGCATTTTATTGTTTTCACTATGAATCTGTGCACTTAAAGCTGAAGTGTGCACTTTCTGAACCACTTGTGGCACTGAAGAGAACTGTATGAACAGTTACTACTGATCATTATAAATACTTTCAAAAAACTGGGAAAGTATTTTACACTGCAAAAAGGACATAATTCAGCTCTGAGAAGAGGAATGAATGCACCATGAAGGACATAATAATTGGGGCCAAATAATGCTACAGTATAACAGATTCTGACTACACATGACTCAACATTGACCTTGATCCGAATCAGGTTAATTTTTTACTTGGGGCACAGAAGAAAAAATCGTTTAGGTCTCCTTGATTGCACAACATAACATTGCAGCTTTTTAGGTTGGGTTATTCCACATGATGAGTAAAACATCTTCCATCATCTTGGTGACAATCAAGACAATATATCTCAACACTCTTTCACATCATTTCAAAGTTATTTGACAATCAGTGTCTGCTCAAACATGGCAAACACACTGAATTAGTGGCTTCAAACTAGCTGTGAGGATCAGAGAATTATAATAACAGTTTATATAATATAATTATATTGTTGTTACACACATTGCAATTCAAAAGTTTGGGGTCAGTAAGATTATGTTTTTTTCTTAAATTGACCCAAAGTATAAAAATATTGATAATGTTACAAAAGATTTTTATTTTAAACTCACGTACCTATTAAGCACACTTCCATTTTTGAGCTCTGATTATAAAAAGAAAAAATAATGTATTATCCTACTTAATGTCTTAACCAATTGATGTGTTTGTTACTACATACCTCCTGTAAGTTCAAATCAATCAGATCATTGCACACTGAGATATGGGTCTCCATGTGTTCACACTGTTCACACTGTTTCACCAAAAGAGGAGCCCTTTAAATGTGCATTTTTTAGATGTTTAAGCCTTTATTTAGGGTAAGTTTCACTACTTATTGTAAAATTGAGAGATTCATGTTTAGACTTTTGCATATTATAACCTGGAACTTGGATGTGGGAAATAATTACAGTTAGAACCAAAAGATAAAAAGATTTTAGCAGCATAGCACAGATGCTACAGAACACAGTTAGCTGACTAGCTGAATAAGATTGTGTGCTACGCTAATATATTACTTCACAGGCATTACTGGCTTGTACTTTTAAATCCATAATATTATAAATTGACAGTTTATTGCTGGTCTGTGGTTTTACACTGCTGAATTTTTTTAAAGATTTCATATTATTGCAAGGTGAGCTTAAAGGGTGCACTACTATGAAAATCACACAGCTTCAGTGTGACATCAATAAGAAAAAGTATAATTTCATAGATATTGTTAATAATAGTTGTTCATAATAAAATATGTATGAACTTAATACATGACCTAGATTATTTATTTTGCAAAATATTGTCATTTTAATAAATATAACAAGAAATTTATTAAAAATTGTTGCTGCTCCAATTAAGTTCAGTGTGCTCTCTTTAAGCTCTTCCACATTGAATGTCTATATAAATATTTCATAAACAGACTTTAAAGGGTTAGTTCACCCAAAAATGAAAATTATGTCATTAATTACTCACCCTCATGTCGTTTCAAACCCGTAAGACCTTTGTTCATCTTTGGAACACAAATTAAGGTTTTTTTTATTAAATCCGAGAGCTGTCTGACCCTGCATTGACAGCAACGCAACTGAAATGTTCCCAAGTCCAGAAACATAGCAAGGAGATCTGTAAAATAATCCATGCAGGGTCAGAGAGCTCTCAGATTCCATCAAAAATACCTTAATTTGTGTTCCGAAGATGAACGGAGGTCTTACGGGTTTGAAACGACATGAGGGTGAGTAATTAATGACAGAATTTTCATTTTTGGGTAAACTATCCCTTTAAATATAAACTGATAGTTGTCACTTGAAGCTAAAGGGGTCATATGATGTTTCAAAAAACACATTATTTTCCACATACTGTACATTGTTTCTCCTCTATGCCCCACCTTTCTGAAACACGTCGATTTTTACAAAGCTCATCGGTCTGAAAAGCGAGGTGTGCTCTGATTGGCCAGCTAGACATGGTGGCAGCAACAATACTACAGCGAGAATGAAAAGTTACGCCTTCTTTCTTTGCGTGAACATTTGGGCGGAGTTAATGCAAATCTTCCTACATCGTGATGTAGACATGTGGGGGCGTCTTAGAACGAGCCGTTTTAGGTAGGCGTGGTTGACTTTTATAAAGAATATCTCTTTGGATTTGAGACTTTAGTCTTTGTAACTTTACAGATCTTCTTTATGCACCAAGAGCTTGTAACACTCCAAAGAGAAAGGAAAAATTTAAATTGCATCATATGACCCCTTTAATCTTTATAAAATGGTCAATAACTTATTTTCAGCTTTAAGATGACAAACTGTAACTATAGTTTATGCCCAAAGATGAAAGAGGCATGTCATCCGTACAAAGAAGGAGCCATCAGAAATCGTATCTGTTGTATCTTTCCAGAAAAAAAGTGACTAAAGGCTTTTAAAATGTGAACAGATTAAAAAAAATAAAATCTGCAAAAAAATTGGAATCTGTGACCATCATGCACTATGTGATTTTCTATTAGATATGGCAGCTCAAATCTACAGACTTTCAATTATTCTTTAAAAAGGTTTTTTAAAATAAACAAGAATTGTTTAATAAAACATGATGTGAGCTTAATGGGAACAGGGGTGTACTTAAAGGGTACAAAAATGTACCCATTAAGCACAGCCAGACTTTTTGCATTTAATGATGTAATCTTAATCAAAATGCTTTTGCCATTTAAAATTAAATTAAATATTTTTGTGTGAGACATTAATATTTTATTTTAACATAACTTCTTGTACTGAAACCAATATCTTGTGCACTAAAAATGTCTCAATGTAGATTTTGGTGAGCTTAATAGGTACGTTTACACTAAATAGTGTTTTTTTTTACTTTCAATAAAAAAAAAGCAAAATAAATGCATCAGTTTCAGAAAAATATATTATGCAGCACTGTTTCCAATGTAAAAAAATAAAAAATGTTTCTTAGACTGAATATTTAGCTTTGAAATCACAGGAATAAATTATATTTTATTATATATAAAAATAGAAAGCAGTTATTTCAAATTTGCAAATATTTTTGATCAAATAAAAGCAGGCTGGTCAAGCAACATGGTTTCAACAACATTAAAAAATCTTACAGACCAAAACTTTTGAACAAATGTGTAACATAATAAAAATAATAATACTGACATTGATGCCTTTAGTGTGGCTAATCAATGAGCTGTTCTTTACCTGTTTGCAAAGCCACAGACATTCAGACGGACATCTTTGGCTTGGTTGACTTTTATAAAGAATATCTCTTTGGATTTGAGACTTTAGTCTTTGTAACTTTACAGATCTTCTTTATGCACCAAGAGCTTGTAACACTCCAAAGAGAAAGGAAAAATTTAAATTGCATCATATGACCCCTTTAATCTTTATAAAATGGTCAATAACTTATTTTCAGCTTTAAGATGACAAACTGTAACTATAGTTTATGCCCAAAGATGAAAGAGGCATGTCATCCGTACAAAGAAGGAGCCATCAGAAATCGTATCTGTTGTATCTTTCCAGAAAAAAAGTGACTAAAGGCTTTTAAAATGTGAACAGATTAAAAAAAATAAAATCTGCAAAAAAATTGGAATCTGTGACCATCATGCACTATGTGATTTTCTATTAGATATGGCAGCTCAAATCTACAGACTTTCAATTATTCTTTAAAAAGGTTTTTTAAAATAAACAAGAATTGTTTAATAAAACATGATGTGAGCTTAATGGGAACAGGGGTGTACTTAAAGGGTACAAAAATGTACCCATTAAGCACAGCCAGACTTTTTGCATTTAATGATGTAATCTTAATCAAAATGCTTTTGCCATTTAAAATTAAATTAAATATTTTTGTGTGAGACATTAATATTTTATTTTAACATAACTTCTTGTACTGAAACCAATATCTTGTGCACTAAAAATGTCTCAATGTAGATTTTGGTGAGCTTAATAGGTACGTTTACACTAAATAGTGTTTTTTTTTACTTTCAATAAAAAAAAAGCAAAATAAATGCATCAGTTTCAGAAAAATATATTATGCAGCACTGTTTCCAATGTAAAAAAATAAAAAATGTTTCTTAGACTGAATATTTAGCTTTGAAATCACAGGAATAAATTATATTTTATTATATATAAAAATAGAAAGCAGTTATTTCAAATTTGCAAATATTTTTGATCAAATAAAAGCAGGCTGGTCAAGCAACATGGTTTCAACAACATTAAAAAATCTTACAGACCAAAACTTTTGAACAAATGTGTAACATAATAAAAATAATAATACTGACATTGATGCCTTTAGTGTGGCTAATCAATGAGCTGTTCTTTACCTGTTTGCAAAGCCACAGACATTCAGACGGACATCTTTGGCTGTAGCATCACATCTAAAGCTGTGTTTTGAGCTTAAAGTTTTTATTTATCTCTCAAGTTTTTGCATTCTGTTCCAATCAGCAACACATCTTCTATAAACAACCCCTATGAAATGCATCCAATCAAACTGGGGCGAAACTGAAACCAGCCAAATTATAAAGGACTTCATTAAGGTCTATTTACTAACTAGCCGATTTTGAAAATAAGTAGCTTTATGCATCGATATCATACCAATCTATGCCGTGCCTTTTGTTTGCATTTTCATTCAGACTAAGGAGAAAAGACCAACAAGTGGGCGGGCAATATGCTAATGTTTCATGCTGACTTCAACATGAAACGGCTTGGAATTCGTTTTAAAAAGGAAAAACTTTCAATGATTCAGAGTCGACTCTTTCTTTTTAGAGACAATAACTTTATACACGGTGCACTTTCAGATTTAAAATTTGGCAGGATGTTTTCATTCACTTAGAGCTGTGTTACACACTGCATTACAGGTAATATTCAAAAATCCATAATAGGGGCACTTTAAACAATCACTGACCTTCCTGATGTGCATCTAATAGACAATCTCAACCATTAGCAGCAGATTACCTTGATTATCAGCAGAGTAATGCACATAGCTCTCTCATGAAAAGCCAATCAATAGTAGCTTTCTTTTTTCAAATGCTGTCATGCAAATTTCCATTAAACCAAAGCCTGGCAAACAAAGCTTCAGGCAGCCAGTAAAATCTATTCAAAATAGTCTAAACCTATATCCGCTCAGTGATAGAATGATATCCACCTCTCAGAGCCGAGCAGCAAGCTGCAGAACCTGGTATGAAGTTTCCTCTGCAGATGCTGTGTGTCTCCAGTCCTAAGCAGGCCATGCCGTCTGCCCGACCTGCCTCACGTTCAGAGTATCTTAAAGCGGGCTCCTGACAGCACCAGAGCTTTGTGAAAAAGCACAAGGACCACGTTCTTCAGGGCTCTCCATTCACTGTTAGCAGCTCCAGTGAAACTGGGACTCCCTCAGAGGAGACAGCATCTGCTCCACCAGCAGACGGAGAGGAGGGAGCAGAAAGACTAGACCGACCATTGTTAACCCCTCCCTGCCATTGGAAGTTCAATTCTAGATCATTAAAAAGTGCTTCTTTTTGTAGTTTAGAAGAACGATGATCGTTCTCTGTATGGACGAGTGCATCATGAATGCTTTATTTTTGAGATCTGAGCAGCAAAAAACATAACATAGCTCTTAGTTGAAATAACCTTCCTCTTCATCAACACGGTAAACATCTTGTTTGACAGACAGCCAGAGGATGGGTAACTGACACGGGCCATGCTCTGCCAAAGTCGTTTACATTTCCACTCGCTGTGACGGTGTGACCTCAGCATAGCTAGAGACCTAGAGGAGCAGCCCTCACAGAGCTGTGAGCCACCGCACGCAGACAGAGCTGTCCTGTGACATTTCACATGTCAATCAAAAGACTGCGCCCAAACTAAGAGGCAAAGAAATGTCAGGATTGTGGAGGCTGCTTCTGTGCGACAAGACAGAATGGAAAAAGAGCTTCTCATTTTCGGCGCGTACAGAAATAAAACGTTATTTAATCAACTGGAAATAGAGGCTAAACTAATCAGGATGTGGCGTGAATTGAACTAGGCAGCGAAAAGAGAGAGCCAAAATTAAATAGCTAAATTTATGCAGGCTGTGATTACAACCAGGCAAACGAATACTATTCCAGAACAAAAGCCAATTTGAAATCTCACAATAAATTCACCAAAAATGGGCAAAAAAATCTGACTGATGGTGAACATTTAGCCAAGAGGGACATCTAAATCAGATATCGTCTGTGATTTTGTTGAAGGACAAACAACTTTGTACCACTCTGTACTTTTTAGACAAAGTCTCAGAAGCCAGCCGTTTCTCACATCAGATGTGTCAAGTATAAACTAGGCTTGTCTCAACTGCAGGTTAACTACTAACATCTTCACCGGCTGATTTTTATATTTACATTATTGTCAAAAAATGCTTGACTATTTTGTATACACTACTGTTTAAAAGTTTGGGGCCAGAAAAAGTTTTTTGGAAATAAATTATTTTATTCAGCAAGGTTGTATTAAATTGATCAAAAGTGACAGTTAAGACATGTATTGTTTTACAAAAGATTTATATTTTAAATAAATGCTGCTCTTTTGAACTTTCTATTCATCAAAGAAGCCTGAAACTGTATTTAAAAAAAATATATTAAAGAACAAACATTTTTTTAGCAGTAATTCATTTATTAGAATGATTTCTGAAAGATTATGTGACATTACATTTTTTTTAATATACTAAAATAGAAAACTTATAATAACTTTATAATAATTACTTTACTAATAGTTACTTTATAATAATTAGTGCTGTCAAACGATTAATCGTGATTAATCACATTCAAAATAAAAGTTTTTGTTTGCATAATATATGTGTACATATGTTTATATATTAAAAATATTTATTTATAATATAAATGATATGAATATAAATACAGACATGTAAATATTTTCAAAATATATACTGTATGTATGAGTATTTATATATAAATAATAAATATATACAGAACACATATATTATGCCAACAAAAACTTTTATTTTGTATGTGATTAATCACGATTAATCATTTGGCAGCACTAATAATAATATTTCACAGTATATGGTTGGTTTTACTGTATGATCAAAGACTTGATGAGCATCAGAAATCTTTTAAAAACATAAAAAAATCCTATCGACCCCAAACTTCTGAACAAGTGTATTACAAATAAAACAATAAAGTGAATTTATACAAGTGAATGAATTTAGGTATTACAACATTTTGATTTTTAAAGAGATTTAGAGTTTAAACATTATATGCGGGTTAGATGATGGCAATGATAATCTAAAAGTGAAAAACATTACGCGCAATGAAATATCCAACATCAGCCAATATATACCCTAGTAAAAAAGTAATATATTTAAAATGCATTATTTCATACTAAGTATAGTTCAAATCTATTAACATATTTACAAACAAGTCGCTCAAGACTGATAAAAAAATAATAATTAAACTTTATTTGGAGTACTACTTGTGCACAATGCACATTTCTTACTATTAAGCCTAAAATGTGTTTTAATATTACTATTGATGAGGATTGTATGATCTTTTACTAATATCGGTCTTTATACGCAATATATTTAAAGTGTACCTCAGCATATCTTTAGTTGGACTTCAGCACTACTTCCGCACAATTAAAGAGCATTAAGTACAAAAGTAGTTGTTCTAATTTAGCAGACTTTAAGTATACCAGGTTATATACTAAAAGTACAATTACAGGGTATTTTACTACGTACATAAATATGTCAATGTATTTGTAGTATACTTAGAATGAAATAAATGTATTTCAAATACATTTTAGTATATTTATTTTTCACTAGGGTATTCAATTTTAATCAAGAACTGATGATAATGATATATTGTGCATTGCTAATTCATGTAAATGACTCAATCCAACCATTTTTATTCAGCATCATAGCAAGTGACATACCATTTTTGCGTTCGTTGAGGGGGGGCAGCCTCTGGTTGGGGTGCAGGGACAGTTCGCCCATCTCATGGGTTACAGCCTCACTCTGTGGGCTGGGTGCCAACAAACCCCCAATCCCAGCATCCCCCTGCTCCTCCATGTCTCCTCAGTGAGGAGTCAAGGGTTTCGCTGGGGATCAGCAGACGATATGGTCACAGGAAGCTCCTCACTTCACTTTCTGCAAAAGACAATGTCGGTATAGATTCAAGTGAAGAAAAAAGTAAACAGCAAAAGATAAGCCAAGGAATTTGGTCCAAGTTAGGCAGACTGTGCTTTAGTAATACACAAAATCATAAGTGAAATGGGGAGTTTGGGAATGATGTAATAGTTCAAGAATGTGGTATAAGGTCTGTAATATCACTTTAGCCATGAAAAACGACCAAAAACACAGAGGATGTGTTGAATCTATGGCATATACAGTTGCTGCTGTAGCACATCTATCAAAGCGCTAACAAATAATAAAAACTAGCCTTCCCACAGACAGACGGTGAATGAATAGACGTTGTGTTCGCTAGCCTATCATTACATCATCCCAGTGGTTTAGATGTGAAACCAATAAAAACATAAACACAGCGCTCACCATGGTGCTGTAAAACGCTAGAATACACTATGACCACATCAGCACAAACCACAATCATCCATTCCCATGAAACACTTGCCATTCATAACCTCTTGTCACATGGGAACTGAGAGGCAAATTTTTCTGTTGTTCATTTTACAATACAAATTTCAGTGGCGGATCAATTCAGCAACTGATCTCAAACCAAATCTGCACAAGGGGACGGTGATGGATTCTACTAACAAACTCGATTTTGCCAGTGATGGATTTGGTTTCCTAACTTAAAACATTAAAACAAATCAAACATCACATTCTGCATCAAAAAAAATTTCCCCCTCTTCCTGAGGTTTTCCACATTTAACCACCTCTGAGCCATCCCACACACCACCCTGCCCCCCCCCAAAAAAAGCTGCCTGGAACATCGAATACAGCCTTTCAAAAAAAGGGCAGGTTTTTAAATACGAATTCCAGCTGTTTGTATTGGATTATAAATGACTCACGCCATTTACACAAAAATGTATTGAGTAAAACATTGTGGGACATGCGGTCCCCAACCTAATAAAGTTCCCAAAGCATGTTTTGATATGGAGACGGATAGTATTGGAAGAAAACCGCATGGCCTGATATGACCTCTGAGTAAAGAGAACGTTAGCAGCATCTACTCCGTCCAGGTTTTTGCGATTCTTTGATCACTAAATATGATGCAAAATCAACAAAATGTTGCTTTTTTTTGCATACATGCATAATTTGCCATTTCACACATAATAACCGCAAAAAGCGTCATAATAGTACTACCCAAATTTAGAGTAAAACAAGGCAGAGATAAAGAAGAAACATGAATGAGGAAGTGTGGCGTGCTTGATATTAAAAGGGTTATTAAGCTCAACAATCAATAAAAAGAACATAATCAGTGTTTTTGTGCCGTTTATCATGTTTAATCAGCCAAATACACACAAAGTTATATATAGCTGTCAAACGAATCACGATTAATCGCATCCAAAATAAAAGTTTTTGTTTACGTAAGCTAATATATGTGGTGTTTAGTACTGTGTATATTTATTATGTTTATATAAATACACACATACAGTATATATTTTGAAAATATGTAATGTATTTACATGTATACATTAATATTCATATAATTTATATTATGTATAAATATATTTAATATATAAAAAATATTTTTCTCAACTATATACATGCATGTGTGTGTATTTATATAGACATAATAAACATACACAGTACACACATATGTAAACAAAAACTTTTACTTTGGATACGATTAATTGCAATTAATCGTCTGCGAGCACTAAAATTATGACAAAATGCCTGTTTTGGCGAGTATTCATGTAAACACGCTCAGTTTTGTCTTAAAAAAGAGAAAATCACTCACTGTTGTTAACTGAATTTGTAACTTGTACACTGAATAACAGTAGTTTTAATAAAGACCAGTGTATTTATGAACACAGTGAAAACTATTCCCTTTTTTAATTTCTGAAGTGTTTTGCACTGTTTGTACCTGAACTTCAAGCACTCACCTCTATCTTTGTCTTATTGCTTGTAATTTGCTTTTTTGTTCTTGTTTTCTAACAAAATACATTTTTGCATTTGCAAATCCATCCATACAACAAAGCAGGATGTGATCTATATAAATGACAATAAAAAAATTATGCCTAACCCTAAGTATATAGATAAGCAATGATTCAAACCAATAACCAATCAGGGATTTGAACATGACATACTGCAAACAAACACTCGTGCACAAAAGCATGCAGCTACAAGCCTCATTGTATTCTTACATAACAGCAAATGTCATCTACTAGTCCTCTTTATTTTTGAATTTCTGACATTCTCTACACTGTAAGATCTTTTGGCTGATAGTCAACACAGTACACAAATTGTTTATGTTTTGAAGGGCAGTGTGCCAACATCCAAAACACTGTATGTGTATTATGAAGTCTGCTATTAGTCCTTGATAGTCACCATTGCTAGGATACAGCAGCCTCCCACACAAATAAACTCAAGCTGCTGGAGCTCTCGCTCTCTCAGCAGTACACTGTTTAGTGATCACTCACAATAGGACAGGTCCATTGTAAACTTAAGTACACTGAAAAGTTTAAGAATGTATTTTTTTAAATTTAAGCCTAAAAGATATATATATATATATATATATATATATACACAAGCAGTAAAATTAACTATTTCCCTGTCAGTATCTTAATTTGATTTTCATTTGCAAATTTCATACTAAATATTGTTTATTATTCAGAAATGTATATTCTATGGAAGGACACATTTATGGAGCATATGATTTAATGTCACACTCACACCATGTGAATATTTGCATGCAATTAGCTCAATCTGTGGCATACTCACCGCCACAAGCAATGGTGACGCAACACGAAGCAACAAGCTGGCCACAAACTTGTGAAATTGCCATGGCAATATTGATATAAAAATATAAAATATATTCAATAATAACACTTCAACACTGTACAAAAGACAACACTCCAGACACATGCATGTCATCCACCACATCCAGTCCAGGCCATTAAGCAAAGCTGAAGACGGCTGTCTGATGTGGATCCACCGCGTCAAATAATAACACTCAAACAGTCCACATCTGGCTTACACCACATTAAATATGTGGTATGTGATCTATGAGAAACACTCTAAGGACAGTTACAATAACAATGTATATCTTACATAAGAAAAACGGGGGCTGTTCTGCTTCTGTGGTCTGCTGTTTCTGGCATGCCTCACTGTTAGAGCTCATGGCTGAACCATTTCCCATACAACCCTCAAACCACATACACTTTAAACTATAACAGTGTGTTCCAAACTATCTCAATCGATTCAGTTAAGTTATTGAAGGCAATTATAGTAAACATCAACATTTCTTAAGAGAGTGAGGAAAAAAACTAAAGAATCACTTGGTTTTCTATAGAAACAGCAAGATCTAGAGATGTTTGCTCAAAACTAAGCAGGTAAACTAATGGCACCTCACTGAGAAATGACCAGCCTTCATGTTGACGTCAGGAGAGGTCACAGCGTAGTTACTTAAAGGGACAGTTCACCCTAAAATAAAACTTCTGTCATCATTACTCACCCTCAAGTCATTCCAGACTTTCGTTCATCTTCGTTCAAACACAAATAAAGATATTTTTTATATTCTTTCATACTTTTTGTTCACAAAACCAAAATTTTCATGCTTCAAAAAGCACATGTAGACATTGCTCAACCATGTTTGACATGGAGAAAAAATCTCAATAGATTTTGCATGTTAAGCAATCACCCTGTGATTCTGTGTTTGCAATATTTGATGAGCTCTATATGTGCATTGATCAAAGCCTAAATTAAATCTGTTATCTTATAAAGCAATAGTGCCTCTTCAGACGACTTGTATTAAACCAATTTCTGTATATATGGATTACTTTTAGTCTTTAAAAACTTTCTGAAGCTTGGAAATAGGGGTGTACAATACTGACAAAAAATGTAAACATTTTAAATTCTTACATTTTTAAACAAATTGTTTTAAAAGGCGGATTCATTTAGAAATGAAGCAAGTGACTGTTTGTATTTATATACTGATCATTGGATCAAACGATTAGTTCAAAAACAGATTCATTCAGGAATGAAACGCCGCAGTGTTGCTCTGTCATGCACAAATGTTCTGCTCCAGCTTTGTTTGGAACTGTTTTCATTGGTGAATCTGAGAAAGAAAGAAAAACAGACAATATTGTGCCTAAAATGTAACTCACTCAATATTAACTTAAAAATTTAAAATCTAATTTGCAATCACACGCACACTTTAATATTGAGGAAAACGGCACTGTTACATGTGTGTGATATTACTTAACTATATAAATATAAAAATCAAAACCCTATACAGGGATATTTTTGGCTTTCATAACTTGAATTATAGGGGCATTCTAATAGACTTCATCATACAGTGAATGCATTTGGATTTATTTTTTTGGCAAAGTCAGGGACATAGCAAAAAAACTAATTTCTTGTATTTACGATATGAACTACTTCCCTCTGGTAGAAGATATAGAATCCCAATGTGTAAGTTAAATCGATATAAGAATTCCTTTGTACCTGTATCGGTGCAGTTGTACAACAAGAGTTCATCTTGATTTTATTTTCATGATTTTATTTAAAAAAAATTTTATATGTTTATTGTATGTCTGCAGCAACATGTAGTCCATAACAATTTTCCTCTTGAGGACAATAAAGTATACTACTACTACTACTACTACTACTACATAGGCTACTTGATAATGTTAACATTAAAACCGCATGGCCTTAAAACAACAATTATGATATTATTGCAGACGATAACCATCACAAACCCCTACTTGGAAATTTTGGTTGTGTGTACTGTCAATGAAAGGACAAAAACGATGAGAGAATATTCAAAATATCTTCATTTGTGTTCCAAAGATGAGCAGAAGTCTTGCGTTTGGAACAACGGGTGGGTGAGTAAAGTCTGAGTTTTCAGTGACTAATAACCACCACTCAAATATTACAAACCAAAAAACTGCATCAAGCATTGCTAAAACTCATATAAATGGATTATATTTTACAGTATTACCAGTGTAAAATGTCAAGAACACTGTTTAACAACACCGTTAAAAACAACAATAAAATACAGTATATCATGCTTTGATCATTTTAATTGAACCAATATACTGATCAAACATCAGCCACAAAGTGACTTTAATAACTAAACTAGTTCTTGTTTCATATCTGTTGGAATAAGCATTGTTCTAGTAAGGAAATTACAACACTCTTGCTTTTCCTTTAGGAAGGTGTGCCCTCAAGCTCTAGTTCTCCATTCACCCTATTAGCACAATTGCTTCTCCTTCACAGTGGCCAACATTTAATCTGTCTCAAGTGGCTTTAATGTCAGGGATCTGAACCTGATTCTGCTGAGACAGCATACTATGAGCCATGACTAAATACTCTGGAAAATATCAAACCTCAATTAAAAAGCAAACCCAGATGCTTGATCCTTTTCATGTGTCGTGCTGGAAACACAAGCAATGATTTCCATGTGTTCATCAAAGGAGAGTAACAAGGTGGGCTGGCACAAGATAAATGTTTAGTTTACTTCGGCCCAGCACTTGTGCTCAAACTTCCTCAGAGAGGTTAATGACAAACTTTAAGATTAACTTTTTACAAATGGTCCATTAATGATTTCATGTGGGGAATCAATAAAAAGTCTATGTATGTACACTAAAGAATTTGTCCATTATGAAATGTCCCAGTTGCATATAGATATGTACAAATTTAGCATTTTAATGCAGTTGCCAGTGTAAGTCAAGTGAGTTATCAAAAGACATGGTGTAAAATAGGGGTCCTTAACAGGGGGTCCACAATGGAACAACAGGAAGGTCTGCCAACGTTATAAAAAATATTTTTTGAATTAAAATAAAAAAAGTAAAAGTTAATAATCTAAAGTACAGCTAATAATCAGTGTTATTTTAGTATCATTTATAATGCATTAATTAATATATTGAATTAGCTTTTGTTTTATATTTTCAGTTTTTATTTCAAGTTTGTTGTGTACTGTTGTCATCTTATTACTTTCTTTTTTATATTTCTATTTAGCTTTCTTTGTATTTCAGTTTTCATTTTAGTACTTAAGCACTTAAGTCAACTTATTTCATTGCAGTTACTTACAACATTTCTGATTTCCATATGTAGTTTTTCATTTAATATTTACATTACAGTTCATATTCTATTATATTTATGTTATATTCAGCTTAATTTCAGTTAACAAAAACTTTCATAGTTTTAATTAATAATAACAGCTAAATGTGTCATTCTATCTCACAGTAAGTATAATAATTATACAGTATGATACTAAACAAACACACTATTATTGAACATACAACACTCAATTTTATGCAGTATGTCTCTACTAGGTCCTTTGTCTGAAAAAGTTTGAGGACCCCTGGTTATGTAATCAAAACTTAGGGATCATAGTCAATAGCTGAGACTACAGGATACACTTGGTAAAAAAATATATTGATTTCTGTATTTATAAGAAATCTAGATATGTGGATAACATGTGGTCATTGTAAACTATAACTAAATTTGCATGATACCAAAAAATCAAGCAAATAATAGCATGTGAAATCTCGATTTGGTTGCAAACTATACATTTCGAATCAAAAACACATCACAGAGCATTAATCACTACAGAATTTGATTTCTGCCATTCATGACTTGCGGTGGCATGAAGTGGAGATGCCAGGAGTCTAGTCTAAGAGCTTCCCATATAAAGTTACACCTGTGTATGACTCACGAGTTGTTTGAAGACTGCAGATCTATTAGGTTGTTTACACTCATTCACATGGAGTTTCAGTTTCACCAGGAGTCAATGAGACACAAACATGATGCAAAAACTTCCAGTGCGTTTAACCTTTCTGCCATACAGATGCTTAAATCATCAACAGACCCTTCCTCCTCGGCCTACAGTATCTGACACTGAGGGGCTCAACATGTAAACCCGTCTTAGCATAAACATCCTGTGAAACAGCAGTGTTGATCTACAAACATCAACACTCATACAGATAATAGAGTAAGTTAGCATGCTAATAGCCTAACAAGTATCTATTTTTTCGCGACATACAAGTAATGTAAAGCTCATCCGAGAATACTCACTATTTCATGTATGTTTTTATTATAGCGTGTATATCTCGAGTGCACATGACAGTTATGCTCCGTGTTTGTCAATAGCTCAATCTTCACATCAGCAAACAGAGAACTACAGCGCAACACATTAAATCTCTTTTCGCCATTTAATGTCGCTTCTTACCCTGTTCCCTATAGCTGTGTCTAGCTTGCTTGTCGTAGCCGCTTGCTTTAACGCTCCATAACTGTCCTTGATGTGGTCACCCATGTATCCAGGGATTGCTTCTGTTTTTCTTTGGGACTGAAGTTTTTTTTGAGGAAGTGAGATGGCCGATGCTCGTCTGAACTCTGTGACGCAAGCGGTGTTATAGGCTAGTCACCATCGGGGGGCGCCAGTGTTCCGTATGTGTTTTTATAACTTCACTAAAATGTATTTCATTTTAATACAATTACTGTTAATTTACACCGAAATGTTTGAAGGTACAGTTAACGCAAATATATAGATTTTAGTTTTACTTTGACTTCTCAGTCACCATTCACCTTCATTGTAAGTTAAAAGTGAGTCATTATGAAAGTAGTCAAAGAGCAACATGCAGTTTTGGAACAATATCGGGGTGAGTAAATTTTGTGTTGAATACACAGGGATAATTACAGAAATAATTAATTTTATTCATGACAAATTTTTTTTTTTTACTTTTTCTAAAAGTGGAATTTGCCAATGAAAATATTAAATATTAAAATAAGCAAATAACTGCATTTAAATAATCACACAGCAATGTCACTAGTCGTTACAAAATGGAAAGTTTGATTCTAACAAACAAGGTATTTAAAGGGAGGGTTCACTCAAATGAAAATTCTGTCATTAATTACTCACGTCGCTCCAAACCTGTAAGACCTTCGTTCATCTTCGGAACAAAAATTAAGATATTTTTGATGAAATCCGAGAGCTTTCTGACACTACCATAGACAGCAAGGATCCTAACGTAGTAAGGACATCATTAAAATAATCCATGTGACATCAGTTGTTCAATAATTTCACGAAGGTACAAGAATACATGTTGTGCACAAAGAAAACAAAAATAATGACTTTATTCAACAATTCGTCTGCATCATCCTGGCACCATTTTGGAGAGTATCACATACATAAACAATGTATGCAACTTATGTATGCAGATACGTTGTTTACACTTTGATCTGAATGTAAACAACATATCTGCGTACATACGTTGCATACATATGTGATACTCTTCAAAATTGCGCTATAGAGTGAGGCGGAGATGAATTGTTGAATAAAGTCATTATTTTTGCGCACAAAATGTATTCTCGTATTACGGTTGAACCCCTGATGTCACATGGATTATTTTAACGATGTCCTTACTATGTTTCTGGAACTTGATCGTGTTAGGATCTTTGCTGTCTATGGGAGGGTCAGAGAGCTCTCGGATTTCATCAAAAATATCTTAATTTGTGTTCCGAAGATGAACACAAATTAAGGTTTGAAACGGCATGAGGTGCGTACATACGTTGCATACATATGTGATACTCTTCAAAATTGCGCTATAGAGTGAGGCGGAGATGAATTGTTGAATAAAGTCATTATTTTTGCGCACAAAATGTATTCTCGTATTACGGTTGAACCCCTGATGTCACATGGATTATTTTAACGATGTCCTTACTATGTTTCTGGAACTTGATCGTGTTAGGATCTTTGCTGTCTATGGGAGGGTCAGAGAGCTCTCGGATTTCATCAAAAATATCTTAATTTGTGTTCCGAAGATGAACACAAATTAAGGTTTGAAACGGCATGAGGGTGAGTAATTAGAGTAATTAATGACATATTTTTCTTTTTTGGATGAACTATCCCTTTAAATATTAAGAAATACAATAATTCACTCACTGCATTTTACACAACAATTTCATAATAGATATTAATCCCACAATTAACAAACCTGAGATTACGATGCAAATACTTTTCTTTTTTACGATGTCTACTTGTTTTTCTGAACAGGCACCACATCCATTGGATTGTTTAGGAATTCATAAAGCTGCCTGGCGTTGCTACTACTGCCCAATATCTCACTGAGCTTTTCCTGACTAAATGTAATAAGATCAGCCAGACAGGAAGCGTGTTTTATCAGGCTCTTGAAGTTTTTCACATTGACCCCAGGCATACGGAGCAAGAAGTCGTGAGGGCCGGGGTTGTACAAGTCTGCTGATTCCGTCACCGTCTCGGATTCCGCAGTAACGGCCTGAGCTGTAGCAGCATCAGGCTCCGGTCGGCCGTGTTTGAGCTCCTGAAACAGCTCTGCTGTCACATAGGGAGACGGGCACCAGAGCAGCCTCAGGCGAGGGAAATGCAGGGTGAGGAGGGTCAGTTTGGAGGTGACATCACTGGCAGAGATCTCCTGACGAAAGTCACTGCGGGCCACCAGGGAGAAAGGCTTTGCGGGGTCAAACTCGATAAGCAGCACGGGGCGGCGATAGAATCGAGTCATAGAGAGGCACTGTGTGTAGAGACGCCCACTTTGCAGGGAACCAATGAGGTCACTGACACTTTTGCGCTCCACGCAGATCTCTGAAGTCAATATGTAGTCGCCAACCTCTAAGGTGACGGGTTCAGTGTCGAGACCCCGTTGATGCAGAAGGGAAGGAAGCTCACTGCGGAACTCCCGCATGTCAACTATGATTCGCTGAGGCTCTTTAACCTCTTCACGACCCCCTAATTGAACATATCAACCATTATTCAGCACATTACATGTTGAACTGGCAAAATCATATTGTATGAATATGTCAGGAATAACAATGAATGTTTACCTGCTTTGCGGGTGTTGGTGGCGGCATTGGCAGGTTCCTGACTGCGGACAAGATCTAGGTTGGTGTCTTCCCTACCCTCTCTCTCTTCTGGCACAACCATGCTGGCCTTTTCCCTATTTTAAAAACAAAAAAGCAGTTTCACAAAAAGATAATGCAGTTGAACTCAGATAAATAGGAAATATTGAGCTAACCTTATGAGGTACTCGAATGCTTGTTTTTCTTTGCTCAAGACTGTAAGATACCTCTGTTCTTCTGTCGAGCCTCCATATATAAGAAAATACACACTAAACACAAGGGGAAAACAATCAGGAAAGTTAAATATATTATATCAAATCTAAATAAGGATTTTTTTACTAAATAAGTTTAATTATTCATATAAGAATATATTTTATTTACTGAAGATGTATTCAATTCAAAAGTCACATTATAAAAACATTTATGTTATAAAATATATGTGTCTAATGAATGCTGTTCTTTTGAACATTCTATTCATCAAAGAATCTTGTAAAAAATATACAGTGGGGCAAAAAAGTATTTAGTCAGCCACCAATTGTGCAAGTTCTCTCACTTATTCCTCTTCAGCCATCCTTCCTTCATCTTCACTGTTTCCAATTAGGTCCTTTTCAGTTCCATCTTCCTGCCTTTCCATCTGAGAGACTCTTGGCGGTCTCTCATTCTTTGTTCGTCTCTTTGAGTTGATTTTGGTTTTTTTAGGCCGCCCATTTTTCCCTTTGCTCTTAGTGGAGTCCTTCTTGGGCCAGCCTTTGTCAAGCTTCAGTAAATCAGGCTGAGGATCTTCTTTTCCAATGGTGCGTGAATAAAGGCGATTCAGTAGGTGCTCTGCTCCTTTTTGGATATATTCTTTCAGCTGAGCGCATGTTCTGTCATCACTGGCGCATATCAACACACGGCCTGGTGTACAGACCACACATTTAACTTGACGCTTTGCATATGAATGGTTATAATGACACACTTTACTGTTAAATGATTTTACCTGGTTCATGCTCAGAGTTGCTGTTTTCTTTCTCAATCTCCCGTAGCACCTCTGTTAGAGCTTTCCATTTAGGATTTTTCTCAAGCACAAGCTCTCTTATTGGAGGGGCTAATTTTATACATAAATAGAAAAGACGATACTAGTATGCACGTGTATTAAAAATCTGAAACAAAGGATGTAAACACCTTTTAGAAGAAACACTACACATCAAACATATTGTACCTAGGGCACTTTGTTTCTGGTCAGTCTCTCCAACTTTAAGTTTCTTCTTTGACTCCTGAATGCGATACACGCGACTGCGAGCATTTACAAACATTGATGTGCTTGAGTCCAAGAATAACCAACCTGATTCAGAACAGGAGAAAAAAAAGAATCAGGTGGCCTTTACAGACAATAATTTGCTCCATCTCTGAAGAATTCAAATAGAGCAACAGATAAGCGACTGTACCTGAATTACTACCGAAACTTTTCTGGCTGGTTCTCAAAGACTCCAGCAGATTGAGGAAGGTGACACAGTCGTACTGAGTGAGGTAGAGAAGAAGGGTTCTTAAAATCTTCAGGTCCTGAACGAGAGATTTGGTCCTGGACCCCAGCTGATGCCACAGTGGGTCAAGATAATGACGAATTGTCTTCATTTGAAAAAAAAAAATCATGGTCAGCAACTCACAATTTATTTAATTTATCTTTCTTTTTTGTTTTTTTTTTGCTTTTTGATTTAAATTGTTCTGAAATAATTTCTCATTTATATTTGCCTCAGCAATACAGCACTTTTTAAAAATTAAAATGCCCCTATTATGGGTTATGAAAGGTTTATATTTTGGTTTTGGGAGTCCCCAACATTAGGTTGACATGCATGCAAGGTCAAAAACACTTTTTTTTGTCTTATAATATGCATTTATTTTTACCTTACTTGCTCAACGACTCCCAAACGATTCACTCAACGATTAATTTTTCCAAACCCCTCCTTTGCGTGACGCTAATCTGCTGTGATTGGTCCGATTGGCGATTGGTCATTTAATTTTTATCTGGAAGATAAATTCTTCAAACAGTGGTACAAGAGGATGTGGTACTGGTTCTTCAAGAGTCACTCTCAACTTATCTGCCTATAAAGCCTATATATATATATATATAAATCAGTCTTCAAGTATTTTACTACACTTCAGTCTGTAATTCTTATTAAGTAGGGGTCATTTTTTTAGGATTCTATACTTAACCTAAGTCTCTGAGAACCTGGCATACTTCTGGAGACTCCAGGTAGGTTGCAGTTCTGGAAAATGGTGGTGCTGGAGACTAAATGGTTCCTGGTGATTTCACACCTAATTCTTCACCTTAATTACTAATTATTTTGCAGTTAACATGCATCTTTTCTTCTCCACATGTTTTTGACTGACCTTGCTGACCCACTGAGCATTTTGCTGTCCAATGGTTATGCATTAACTTTGCAATTTCTAGTATTGTATTAGTTTTTAATATTTCTCATGGGCATTTAATAATTTTTGACTTTCAGTCTGAGTTTAATCTCTTTTTTGGCTAATTTTATCTGTAAAAGAAAATCTGCTTAATAATTATGCACACCTGAATATAAGACATTTTTCACTTCCAGCCTTCATGAATAATTATATATCAATTATAAATTATTAAATACAAGATTAATAGTAGTTATTAAGATTGATGCCATTTGGAATTGGTCAAATGTGCTTGGAACGAAATATGATCAGAATATCAACTTGCATAATAATTATTCATGCACTGAATTTTTCCTCTTCTGCTGTCGAGGTAATACAAGGAATTTTGTGATTGG